AGGGGAAGTGGTCGGCCGACCACTTGAACTGGTCGGCCAGCCATCTCCTTTTTGGCCTTCCTGAGTTGCATACAGCTGTGCCAGCATGGAGGCATTGCATTGAGAAAAGAATGTTGAGAAACAAGTTTTCATGGAATGGTTTTGGGGTAAATACGTTGGTAAATCTTGATAGGTGGTGTAGATGATATTGAATAAGTTGGCCTGAGAGTCCGGGGTGAAAGACCGAAAACCAGCATAGATAGATGTCGAGCCTTCCGGTTAATACTGGTAAAAATGACAATTTGGTAGTACTTGTATAGTCTACTTGCAGACACCGACCTAGGGATTACTAGAGTCGTATTTACCGCCCTTGAAATAAATTGTTAAGTTTTGAACAATTGAAATTGCATGATATCATTGAGCATGATGGTTTTCAAAAGATGAAAATATGATTTATCTTCAAAAAGGGCATAGCATGGCATGTGCATTTCATCTCTGAAGGCTTGTATAAAATGTATATACTTTGTTAAGAACTTCCTACTGGGCTTTATGCTCACCCTATGGGATGTTTGTGCAGGAAAAGATGTGGTGATCCCACTCAACTAGAGGCGTGAAAGTATGTGTGTTGGGAGTACAATGCCCTCATTTGCTGTGACTCTGTGTGTAAGCCAAGGGTTGTATTTGTGTGGGTTTGAATAACCGTTTTGTATAACCAGGCTCAAGCCTTGGAAACTTGTAAACCCTTGGGGGTATTTATTTGTTTATTTACTTGTTGTTGGATTAATGTATTGTTGTATGAAGAACTATTGTATCATGTAATGTAAGTTTGGAGATTTATATTCAGTTTTCCTTGAAAGAGCCATGATTGTTGCATTATCATTTGGATTAGAAATTTGTGGCGTTACATTAGGCCAAATCAGTAGTGAAGGATTTGTGTTACAATAATTGATCCCACAAGTTCTTAAGGCCACTATAATATTCAAGTAGAGGACTACGGTCAAATTGTCAAGTAGCAAAGATATGCTCATACAACTCATAAACACAAGAAACAGTACTTTGATTTGAAAAAGAATTAGTAAGGGAGTCCCAAATTTCCTTCGAGGTTTCACAAAATTCCACAAGAGTAGTAACATGGGGTTCCAAACTATGCCAAAGCCACCACATAACATAGGAATCCTCACTCGACCAATTATCATAGCCCTTATCATTATCAGATGGTGGAAGTTCAATAAGAAAACGTGACTTCTGGCCACGCAATAAAATCTTAATGCATGGGCCCAAACCAAATAATTTAGTCCATTTAATTTCTTAGTAGTAATAGACTTCGGTAACTAATCATCCTTAACCATTGAAGATTTTGCATCAGGTTTTGCCTCAGCCATGACAATGAGATAAACAACAACACCAGAAAAACAATAGATGGCAATAGAAAGCAAAGACCAATATCAACCAACATTCAAGCACAAAAATAAACCAAAGAAAATTTTCAAGTGAAGAAATTACCACTACTAGTAATCACCAAGCTGAATCACTAGAATCAACACACAGGTACAACACTGGAACAGAATCACCAGTGGCGTGCCAAACAGAGATGAACAAAATCACCAGAAAATCCAACAAAACATCAACAAAATAGCAAACCCAACTCAGAAACAACCCTCCATTGTTATTTTGGCTCCCATAGAATTCGTTGCAAGAAGAAGAAACTTTGGGTAATGGACTATATTGCAAATTGAAATATCATCACTAAAAACCTCGAAAAGTATTCAAAAATTGAAAACTCACATCAAATGGTTTCAAAAAATTTCACAAAAATCATTATCATCATCAGAGGGAGAAAACACCTTGGGAGCAAAGACTTGTCCGCACGGAATGTGATGTCATGTTGACATCATCGTACGGAGGATGACGTTAGCAAATCATTGTCACCTCAAAATAATCTCGAGAGTCTAATGGAACACTTGATAGGGTAGAATCGATGCTATGATACCAAGTTAGAATATAAAAATATGTAAAACTATAATTAGGGTTAGAAAGGAGATGAGAAGAAAAGAAGAATACGTTATATTGAATATATGTTTGTAGGTTCTTAAAATAAACCTAAAACCATCAGCAGATATTTATAAAACACACCACCTTACAATATAGTTATAGTACCCTCAATTTAACACAAAAATAACATATAACATATAACTATTCTAAGACAATAGACTAAAAGTATAAAAGGGTAAATTACACTGACACCCCTTGAGATTTATATTTATTACAGTTCTCCCCCTCACCTTTTGGAAATTACATCTCCTCCTGAGGTTTAAAGTTTCATTACAAATTCTCCCCCTCAGCAATTTAATTTTTTTAAATACCAATTTTGCCCTCACTAGGTAAATTACATTGACACCCCTCACATTTTAGAAATTACAATCCCTCCATAAGGATTAAAGTAGTATTACCAATTGCCTCCTCGGTTAGTATTAGTTGGAAAAAAAATTCATTGAAAAAAAATTTTGTTAGTAAAATTTTTAAATTTCTGTTTAAAAACCAACGTAAGCTCATTTTTTGAATTTACGTTTTTTTCTCAAATTTACAAAATGAGACAACCATTTATAAACCAAAAAAATTATCAAATAAGTTTTTATGGCAGTTTTTTAAATTTTTGTAAATATAAATTGAAAACTGAAAACGAAATGGTTATCAAACAGGTTTCAGATGGTAAAAATGTCGTAAAATTAACAAATAATTAAATAAGTTACCAACGTAAGAAATGACTTTATATATGGTTTGATTTTTATCATTTTTATATATGGTTAAGAAATAAAAAAAAATTATCATTTTTATATAATTTTTATCTTTCAAGTGGTTAGAAATAATTTTTTACAAATTAAATTGAAACAGCCACACGTATGTATATAACCTGCCCAAAAGTTAAAATGATAATTATTTTTTACCTTTAAATGATAATTATTTTTTAATTTTTATTTCTTAACCAAATTAATTTTTAATTTTTAAAAAAAATTCTAAAAATCAAACCATACATAGCCTAAGAATCTTTTGATAAGTCATTTCTTACATTAGTAACTTATTTAATTATTTGTTAATTTTATGACATTTTTGCCATTTGAGACTTGTTTGGTAACCATTTCGTTTTCAGTTTTCAATTTATATTTACAAAAATTTAAAAAACTGTCATAAAAACTTGTTTGATAATTTTTTTGGTTTATAAATGGTTGTCTTAGTTTGTAAATTTGAGGAAAAAAAAACGTAAATTCAAAAAATGAGTTTACGTTGGTTTTTAAACAAAAATTTAAAAATTTTACTAACAAAATTTTTTCTAATTAATTTTTTTTTTCAATGAATTTTTTTTCCAACTAATACTAACCGAGGGGGCAATTGGTGCTGCTACTTTAACCCTAGGGAGGGGATTGCAATTTTCAAAATGTGAGGGATGTCAGTGTAATTTACCCAATGAGGCCAAAATTGGTATTTAGAAAAATTAAATTGCTGAGGGGGGAATCTGTAATGAAACTTTAAACCTCAGCGGAGGAGATGTAATTTCCAAAAGGTGAGGAGGGGAACTATAATAAATATAAACCTCAGGGGGTGTCAATGTAATTTACCCAATATAAAAATATGACTCGTTTTTGCCGAGTCCACATACCATTAAATTTGAGATTTGATGAGTGCGACGACCTCTAGATACGCAACCGCACCCGCACCCGCCACCCGTACCCGAGTCCATGTAACATAGGTATGGTTGTTTTTTTCATTCTTTATTTTTATTTATTTTTATTAAAGAAAGCAAGCTGGAGGAGCCCAGTGCTTAATATGTTGTAATTTAGAACTATATCCGCTTCATGAACCAGTCCAAAATTTAATTAAACACCCTTGCCTAAATGTATTTAACATTGGAAAGTGCCTACAGCCCTCAGCCAAAAGGAGGGAGGGGAAGAGGGTGTGGAGTAGTTATGTAATTTATAGATGCAATCTTATAGTGGTGCCAAATCCATACCTTGGGTTCTGCATTTGTTATTCTCATTGTAAGCAAGACTCTCTCTAAACTTCTACATACTTCATCTTCAGTTTTGCCATTAATTAACAGAAGCTGGCCTTTAGGTTCTGTAAACAAGTCAGAAATTTATAAAAAAAATAAAAATAAAAATGTTAATGGTGTGTAATATACTTGATGAGACACAAAATCCGCAAGACTTTTCTTATTTTTGGCACATTCCATTCCATTATCTTCGAAGCAACATTCTTATTATAGTAATATCACTGTTGAATTTATATGCAAAATTATGTTGAACAGGAGAAACACATAATTGTCTTGGCTCCTGATGACTGATATGCAAACTAAACTTTTTGCAGATGCCATTCAGGGTACACCACTTTGAGCTCTTGTCAGTCAACAAGTCCACATATGTTTACCAAACTCAAATTCAAACAAAAATTTTGATTTAGAAAATTTCTGAACTAGGAGAAACTTTTTATTATAAGAGTTTCTCACTGATCACAATTCCCTCAATATAAAATCAGAACTAAAAGAAACTTCAGTTTCTCTCATTAACATGGATATATTTGTGTCAAAAGTAAGAATTATTGATCTCTTTTCAGTATGTGTAATAAATATAGCACAAGGAGTAGAGAAAAAAAACGATCCATCTACCTGGATATACAAAATTGCATGAAAGAGCAATTTGTACAGCAGTATTCTGCTGGTCTCCAGTTAACATCCAAAAGTTTATTCCAGCTTTCCTGAGTGTCTGAATTGTTTCTGGAACACCATCCTGGAAAGTTATACAAAAGGAAAACAAATTTAGTCCAAGAATCTAAAAGCTATGGTAGATACATCAAGGATATCTGAGGACACACCGAAGAACTTAATTAAGGTCAAAATAAGTGTCCCAACAAAAAATACTTACCTGTAGACGATCCTCTATGGCAGCAACCCCAAGGATTTCAAAGTTATGCTCTAATCTTTGGCAGACCTCAGCTACTTTCCACTGCAAATAGTAGATTGACAAAACGAAGTACGTCATCTACCAACTTCCACAAGAGCAGACACACTCTCAAAGAAGATGGAAAAGATACAAACTTTATTAAGATGTGCAGCTCACCTCCCTATCCACCAATGAGCTATTAGCATCTTTAAAAAGCAAAGACCATTCTCGATATTCATCTTCCTCTATTTCATGCCAAGCCAGGCATAACGTCCGCAGTCCCAGTTGAGAATATTGTTCTACAGCATCAGCAAAAGTCCTTGTTTGTTTTCCTGAAAAGTTTGCAGTTAGACAATAATCAAGCAACTGAAATGTAGCAATGAGTGCAAATACAATAATTACCAAAATTAAAGCTGATAACATATCTGTAGACTCTTCACACTACTCAAAAAAAGAACATTTTGCATAGACAAATTCACAAGATGAGGAGCAAATGCAATCATAATCATTACAACAAAAATAGTTCGAAACTATAAGGTACCCTTCCACAGTTTTAGTCCTTGTATTAAAAGACTAATGATAAAAAAGCAACGCCATCCAAGTATGCGCTCAAAGTAGGTAGTTTATCAAGTTGTTCGTGGAACGTCATTCAAGAATGGTCAAGAGATATGAGACATGTTGGCAAACAATGTGTTCAAGTTCATTCTTGCTTGATGAAATTATCTTATTTAAGGAAATTTCGAGCAGCAGTAATGAAAACAGGAACTAATAAGCTAGAAAACAACCAAAGGCCATCTACAAGATAATATATGCCTCAGATAATGACAAGTGATGCCAAACGTAGCTTTTCCTAACATGAATTTTATTTTATTTTCCTTTGTGGACAAAGTAAAACTTCATAAAAGGTGCCAGACGAAGCACAAACAATTCAAAAGTAGAGTGTGCGGGACCTATAGAGAAGCTAAGCTCCTCCAAATAGACTCAAAGACACGTAAAAAGTTCCTAGTACAACAGTACATAGCCACTACATCTGGTAGTAAACAGCTGCCAGGAGACAAAAAAAAGGAGTATAGATGAATGCATTGCAACTTTCACGAAGATTAATTTCTTACAAGTAAAATGATGCTCATTATGGTAGTGAAGTTTATCATATTGAACAAGAATAAATAGATCCCAAAAAAGCAACTTACACCACTATTCATCTTGTATACACAATAACTAAATCAACTCCTATTTGATCTATCTTATATTTTTCAACAATTTTAGACAAAAACACTCTAAAAGTTCTTAAGTGCTTGTTTTCCTTTGAACACACTCCAACTCCAAGAAGAACTCCGAAAAATATGAGGAAGAATTTATCATATTGAACAAGAATAAATAGATCCCAAAAAAGCAACTTACACCACTATTCATCTTGTATACACAATAACTAAATCAACTCCTATTTGATCTATCTTATATTTTTCAACAATTTTAGACAAAAACACTCTAAAAGTTCTTAAGTTCTTGTTTTCCTTTGAACACACTCCAACTCCCAATTAGAATTCCCTTTCCCCTTCTGAACTTCCCCTGGTATGGTAACCCCTCGCTGCCCTCTCTTGCCATTACCAACACACTAGCCATAGATGCCAGGGACTTAGACAACCATGGTCCACCCCCAATGCAGAGGCAGGACATAGCAGAGCTTTACTTGCTGAACATTGTGTCAAGAGCACGTATGCCAGGGACTACAACTGAAAATTTGCAGGCAACAAGAATAGAGTTCTTACTTGGAAAATATGCACTCTGGTTTAGTTAGTATGGACATCACCATATCTTGGAACCACAAGTAATACAAGTTTCATAACCCCAAAGGAAACAGGTGGCATCTTACTTCACCAGCCTAATAAGCCAAGTGATATCAGGATGGATTCTCAGTTTCATTGTTGCCAAGCAAAAGAAAAAGTTGGCATCAAGCTTTTAAATTTGCAAAAAGGTTCATGCCTGTTACACTCTTGCTTGAATGTGGATGAGTCTGACATAGAGCTCACAATGAATAATAATATAATATATAATTAAAAAAAAAAAGAAAATAGGAATATACATCAGGTATGATGCCCCCTCTCAAAGTCAAAACATATTTTCCAATTATTTTTAAATAGACTTCAACGTGGGGTCAATTATGATGGACATGAAAATAATGAAATGTCAATGGCAGCGCGTTCTAAAGGAGAAGATTGGGGGCGGGGTTGAATATAGCAAAGAGGTAAAGTCTTCTAAGGGGTATGAGCAGTCTCATTTTGAAGAAAATATAGTACCAAAGAAGCAGATCAGAGCCTCTTTTTATTTTAATTGATGATATCAGAACGCAGTACAGGAAAATAATCCAGATGGTGTGGTTATTGGAAAAGCAGGTGGAGATAATAGAAGTCGATGACAGAAGAATAGGCTCCTTTATGGAAATGCAGTGCTATAAAGGCATATCAGGGAATGGGGGTGAATGTTTTCGGGTATTTGTATTATTAAATTATATTTATATGTTTTCTTTTCTTGTATTCCTTCTTTCATTTTGCTTGATTGTATAAGAGGTGTGGCAATGGGTAGGGTATGGGTTGGGGCCCCTATCCCACCCCTATTCCCGTTTCTGCTGCTTGCCTTCATCCCGACCCAACCCTCATAGAACTCCCAAAATTTAACAATAATATTAAAATTTAATAATCTAAAAAATGCCATTTATAATCAAAAAAATATATTATATATTGTAAATATATTAAAATTATATTATATATATAACAAAAAAGAAACTCAATAATACATTTTATAGATTATATATGTATATATATTCTATAAAAATTCAACAATATATTATACACATATTACATATATATGTAATAATATTATTTATTTATAACATTATTTGTAGGTCGGGTAGGGTTTGGGTAAAAAAAATACTCCTCCCCCGCCCCCGACCTGAACCCATTTTCAAAAGTTTTTTTCCAAATCCGACCCTACCCTATTCAACCACTCCTGAACCCATCCCACTTGGGTTGGGGAGAGTCGGGGACCCAGCGAATCGGGGTATTTTGTAAGTTTTCTGAATGAAACTCTATATTCACTTGTGTAATAATACAAAAAATGCATATGATTATATAGTAAACATACTCCAAGACTAACGGAAACACTGCCATATACACCTAAAATACTGCCATATATATAAACCTAACCTAAAGGAAACACTACCTATACAATCTCTCAGAAAAGGAAACACTGCCTAACCTAATATTCTTACACCCCCGCTCAAACTCAAGGTGTTGTCGCAAAAAACACTAAGAGTTTGCCAAGAAGAAACTAAAATTGAGCAATGGTTTCAGTCTTGGTAAAAAAGTCTGTAAGCTGTAGAGCCGAAGAGACGAAAGGAAGCGACATAGAGCCGGACTGTAGATGCTGACGGACAAAATGACAATCAATCTCAATGTGCTTAGTCCACTCATGGAAGACAATGTTATGGGCAATCTAAATGGCACTACGGTTGTCACAGTAGAGGGAGGTCGGAGAAGTCTGAGGTACACCCAAATCAGATAAGAGACAACGAAGCCAAATAATCTCAGCAATAGCATGGGCCATAACACGATACTTAGCTTCGGCAATAGAGCGAGCAACAATAGTTTGTTTCTTACTTTTCTAAGAGATCAAGGAATCGCCAAGAAACATACAGAAACCAGACGTAGACTTGCGATCAGTAACATCACCAGCCCAATCATAATCAACATAGGCCACCAAATCCAGAGAGGAAGTAGAGGACAATAGTAAATCCTGAAATATAATACCTCGGAGATAGCGAAGAATTCGAACCAAGGCATCCCAATGGGTGGAGCGAGGAATAGAAACAAACTGGCTAACTACATGAACAACATAGGCAAGATCAGGACAAATAACCGTCAGATAGACAAAGAAACCCACAAGCTCACAATATAAAGTGGGATCATCTAGAAGAACACTATCAATAGAGTTGAGCTTTATATTAAGCTCAGTAGGTGTATCAGAAACCTTAGTATCAGTAAGACCAGCACGGTGAATGACCTCATTAGCATACTTAGCCTGAGACAGAAAATAGCCCTTTGGAGAAGAAGCAACCTCAATACCAAGAAAATACCGCAATGGACTCAGATCCTTCATCTCAAAGGTGCGGAAGAGATGCTGTTTGACCTCAAAGATAGCAGAAGAGTCAGAGCCAATAATGATTATATCATCCACATATAGTAAGAAAGCAATAAAACCAGTCCAGGTATGTGTCAAAAACAAAGCAGAGTCAGAAGCAGAAGGATGAAATCCAAGCTCAGTAACAACAGTCTGAAAGCGATCATACCAAGCACAAGGAGATTGCTTCAAACCATACAGAACACGCCGAAGACGACAAACCTGCCCATAAAAGTGGGGAAGGCCAGGGAGTGGACGCATGTAGACCTCCTCAATGAGATGACCATTAAGAAAAGCATTCTTAATGTCTATCTGATAGAGCAGCCAATGTCGAATAGTGGCAACAGAAATCAAGGTACAGACAGGAGTCATCTTGGCAACAAGGGCCAAGGTCTCCTCATAATTAATACCATACTCCTCCGAGAAACCTTTGGCAACCAAGCGAGCTTTGTATCGCTCGAGAGAACCATCAGAATGAGTCTTGACTTTATAGACCCATTTGCAACTAACCAGATTCTTGCCAGCAGGCAACAGGACCAACGCCCAAATGTTAGTCTTCTGCAAGGCAAACAACTCATCCTCCATAGCTCAAACCCTATTGGGATCTTGACAGGCCTCCTTGTAAAATTAAGGTTTTGAAAAAGAATGAATAGTAGAAAAAAAAAAAAGTGCGATAGGAAGCAAAAGAACATGTATTAGACCAACCCAACCTGTTTGGAGGACGACGCGCTTGAGTAGGATATCAGTGTACAGCAAGATCAAAGTCATCAGAAGCAAGAGGATCAGCAGTATGGGCAAAGACAATTGGTGGAAGAAGAGTCTAGCAACGAGACTAAACTAACAACGGAGGAGGAGGAGGAGGAGGAGGAGAAAGAGGAGTAGGCTGGGGAGAGGGAGAAGGAGAAGAAAAGGGAGCAGATTCATGGGGTTCAGTGGAGAAAGACTCAGCAGGAGGGGTGGTAGAAGGAGAAGAGGGAACAAGTTCAGGGGGAACAATAGAGATGAACTCATCAGGAGTGACCTCAAAAGGAGATGGATCAATACGAACCAAATCCTCTTTGGAAACTGGAGCAGTGATAGGAGGAAGCTGACACTAAGGCAGACGTTCAAGAAAAGAAACATGACGGGAGACATAAAGACGACGGGAAACAAGGTCATAACATCGATAGCCTTTCTGAGTAGGAATATAGCCTAAAAAGACACAGAGGACAAACCGGGCACTAAGTTTGGTCTGGTTCTTATGGGGAAGAAAGACAAAACAGGCAGATCCAAACACACGAATGAAGGGGTAATTAGGAATTTGGGAGAACAAAACCTCATAAGGAGACCGACCAGAAAAAAGGGGAGTAGGCATGCGGTTGAGAAGAAAAGTAGCAGTAAGAACTGCCTCCCCCCAAACGGAGCCGGAACTGAGGTAGAGAGAATAAGAGACCTAGCTGTCTCAAGGAGATGACGGTGTTTACGCTCGGCTCGACCATTTTGGGCATGTGTATCTACACAGGAAGTTTGGTGAATGGTACCCAAATTGGCCAAATACTCACAAAACTCATTTTTAAACTATTCCCCACATAAGTCAAACCGTAACACTTTAATTGTAGACCCAAACTGAGTAGTGATCATAGACTGAAAGGTACGATATATCTGATAGAAATCGGACTTATGAGTCATAAGATAAACCCAAATATAACGGGTGCAGTCGTCAACAAATGACACATAGTATGTAGAACCCTCTTTGGTGAGAACAGGAAAAGAGCCTCAAACATCAGTATGAATTAAAGAAACGGTATATCAGATATAGAAGTGCTTTTATGAAAAGGTAAGGCTGTCATTTTGGCAAGTTTACACCCCCGACATGCAGTAAGTTCACTAGGAGAAACTTTACCCAATACCTGATTGAGCTAAAGACTGTAAGCAGTCAGCAGACAAATGTCCTAATTTATAATGCCACAAGTAGAAAGGACTGGACAAAGAATCTAATTGAAAAGAGGAAAAGGCAGTCTGAGAGGTTGTCATAGGCAGATGCAAGCTCTCCACTACATAGAGGTCTCCAACTCTACGGCCAGTTCCAATTTGCTGCTTGAACATCCGATCCTGCACAAAACAAATAGAAGAAAAGATAATATCAAAATCGGAGGCATCAAGCTGACTAATAGATAATAAACTGACAGATAACTGAGGAACATAAAGGACAGACGGAATAGAGACAACAGACATAGCAAACGGTAAGACAGACCCAACAAATATAACTGACATACCAGACCCATTAGCAGCATTAACAGTAATATGAAAGGGAGAGGGTGCACAATTTTGAAGTAAGAAGAGATAGGGAGTCATATGATGAGAGGCACCAGAGTCAAAAATCTAGACAGACGAAGAGATATTGAAAGAAGAACCAAGCAAACATGAATGAAGAGAGAAAACAACTGAAGCAGACGGGAAAGGCTGAGAGGTAGACAAAATATGTTGAAGCTGACTAATCTGAGTATTCAAGGAAGCTAAGTCAGGATCAGGAGCTGGAGCTAGAGCAGATGCAGTAGAACCAGCGGGAGGCTGGTGCAGAACTGGATCGGAAATTGCTGAGAAGATGAGGCAGACACAGGTAAAGCAGACAGACATCCCTTTTTTGGGACAATGCTACTTCCAATGGCCCCTCCGATGGCAGAAGGCACACTCATCTAATGCTAATGGCCCTTTCTTGGGCTTTGCTAGAGACTGAAGTTGATGGTTATGCGTTATTATGAGTGTATTCGTAAACAAGAACAATGAACACACTCACAATATTGGAAGTCAAATGGGTCCAACCAAAACCAAAGATACAAACTTTAGTCAAAACGTAATAAAGGAGAAACTCCAGAACAGGGTCAAATGTAATAAGAGAGATACTTCAGAACAAGTTAAAGGACCAAATAAAGAGATCACCTAAACAAAGAGATCACCGACTGAAGTCGAGAGAACCAGAAGGAGAGAGACAGACTGAGCTGTGAGGAGACGAATCACTCCTACCACGTCGAACAGATGGGTCGAACCACATCAGAGGTCGAGAGAAGAAATAGATCCAGACGAACCAGAATCAGACAGCTTAGATTGAGGCCAACAAACTAGGAGAGAGATAACTGCTTCGATCGAAACCAAGGAACCAGAATCAAAGACTAAAGGCTTCAATCGAACATAAACGACGACCCACGATGAGTGTCAAGTTGAGTTTCTGAACCAAAGAGAGACGGCGGCCTTTTGCGATCAAGCCTAGAATAGAGAGTCGCGACTTCAGCCTAACCACCGAGGGAACATCGAACAACCTAGGGTTTTGGCTCTGATACCATGTAAGTTTTCTGAATGAAACTGTATATTCACTTGTGTAATAATACAAAAAATACATCTAATTATATAGTAAACATAACCCCAAGACTAAAGGAAACACTGCCATATATTTACATCTAAAACACTGCCATATATATAAACCTAACCTAAAGGAAACACTGCCATATATATACACCTACACAATCTCTCAGAAAAGGAAACACTACCTAACCTAATATTCTCACAATTTTGCCATCCCTACGTTGTCTAATACAACTGTTCTTTGTTGCTAATCAAAAAATATTATATTTAAAAAATAAATAAATAATTCAACCTTACAGACCAAATGGGGCACTAGTATAAATCAGTAGTGTTTCTCAAGTCATTGATCTACAAGACATAAGATTCAAACAAATTAAAAATAAAAATAAAAATAAACAGGCATCTGAGCAGAAAAATGTGGATGTGCATGTGCAAGTATTCAATGAGTTAAAAGGCTTGAAGTTCAAAGATTTTCCCTATGAATGCAATTTATGGTGTCTTCGGATGGTCATTCACAACAAGTGTAAAAGCATGACAAAGGATTACCAGTACACGCATAAGGAAGAATTGCTTCATCTGCTCCCTTAGACAGTAGGACCATTTTCCCACTTTTGCAATCTTTCACCACAACTGACATTCTTTTCCTATCAGAAGTGAACTCCAGAGTATCCAGTACTTCATACTGTATCATTGCACCATTGAAATTGATTTCTGCAATACATCAAAACAGAGGAAGCTATACATCACAACTGCTATTAATGATAACCCTTGTACACAACCACAATCAATAAGATCATACCAAGAGTATTTGCACTCTTATTGACAAAAACCATATGCAAGTAGGCAGCAGCACGAACAAGAGCTTCCTCATCCTGAGATTGTGCCTTATATGAGATTAAACCACTTTTGCTACAGAAAATTGCATAAGATACAATAAGATCATTCAGAACCAACAGATAAGAACTCAAACAAAATAAGAATAAATCAAACAAATGGAACATGAGCCAATGTTTATGAGCATCTGGACGGATTTAACAATCCCAGCAAGCATTGAACAATAAAGATGCTAAAGTCACCTTCGCATAGGTATAACAGTATTACATATTGCCATAACTGTAAGAAATCGAATAACATCAGGAGAGCCACTGGCAACAGCATTGAGTAGCTCCACATCTGTGCACATGGGATGGAATAAATGAAACACCAAGGAAAATACATGTATCACAATTGAAAGAGATCTAGAAGGTAAGGTATAAAGCAAATCAACGTGAAAGAAGAAAAGCACCAGCAGATAAAAACAGGCCATCAGTCAGAGTATCATACAAATATAACAGTCAATGCTTCACACTCATCAAGCTACTAGGCTGGACACAGCATAAAGCCTTACAAAACTCAAACAAGCAAGCAAAATATAGACCAAGTTTAAGCCTTCTGATATGCCATTGGCTTTTCTTTTGCTTATTATTGAATTCAACTTCTGAGCACTTAAAAAGTTGAGTCATTTTAAATTTTTCATTATTTCAGAAAAATCATTTCTTATGATTATTAGAATGACTAATTTAGTAATTTCACTAGTTGTAAGATTGAATTTCTACATGAAAGATTTACATCAAATTGTCCAAAACTAATATTCAACCAACTAATAGTGAGTGATCATCAATGCTTCATCTGATCTTATGATTTTTAATTTTGTACAATTATAGCTCTTAACACAATTATTTTTTGTCAACTATTATAATCAACTATTTTTCTCTTTCTTTATTTGTTAGTTTTCCTTTTGTAGTAAAACATTTAGCCACTCAGAATAATTATATTTTTAAAAAAAAAAAAAATCCGACAAATTGGAGAGGATATGAACTATAGCCTGAAGACAAATACATTTTTTCTTATTTATAATTGAGCTGTAAAAAGATGACGTGTTCATAAGCAAAAGAAAAGGAAAAACTAATTAATGAGGAATACCTAAGGAAGTGTTCGCAAGGCCCCCTTTTTTCACATTAACATAATGTAATAGGATAGATACTAAATTCATATATATGAAAGAGTTGGAGGGTGTGAATATCAGCATCTATATCAAAGAGGACCTTTGACAATTGTAGGGGAGTGACTGGGTGAGAAGGGGGGCCATGGTTCTTGCAAAGTCCTACCCCTTAGCCAAGAGTAAGTAAAAAGTTCCCTTAACCCAAACAAGATAAGTTCCAAAATTCAGATAACAAATTTGCGTCAACTTCAGCATCAAGAGTTAGTTGAACCAAGACTGATGGAGCAATGCTGAAAGGATCAAGCATAACTGCACACTGAGGCATAACATTATGAATTTTGACAAAAAAAGTATGGGCTGAAACTAGCATTGTATTCTTGGAAATGCAAATATAATGCATGTCCCTTTGTGAATCATTAATATGGCTAACCTTAGAGAAAAAAATCCATGTCAAATTATATTTTGTGTAAGGACTGGGTTAATTTGAACATTAAATTAATGTAATTGAGATTTTAATCATGGACTCAATATCATTGTGGACCTTCATGAAGTGGTTTCCAAATCCTAATTGAGTTAATTTTGTACGCAAGTTGGTGTTTGGGTTTGTGTGAGCAGTTTCTATTCTGATTTGGGAAGAGAGAGACTCTTTGTGCCCAGTGGATTCTGTTCATATGTTTTAGGGGCGGTTGTATTATTATATTATATTTGGGAGGTTGTGTAATTTAATTTGGTATGGTGATACAAAAAGAAGGGGATCTTCAGGTATATATTTGAACTAGGAGCACTTTGGTAATTTGATCCCATTCCAATTTCCAACCACCACCACCACCACTCTCACCCCTGTACGGGTGTAAGGATGGCAAAATACCCTGACCCTTATGGGATGTGTTCGGGGGGTGGTTGAATAGGGTAGGGTCGGATTTGGGAAAACCTTTGAACAACCCAATCAAGTTCAAATCAAGGGCGAGGGAGAGTATAGTCTAAATAAATAATAGTATTACATATATATGTAATATGTGTATAATATATTGTTTCTTTTTTATGGAATACATATAATATCTATACAATGTATTATTGAATTTCTATTATGTTATATCTATAGTGCAGTTTAATATCTGTATAATATATAATATTTTTTTTAATTATAAATATCAATTTCTAATTTTAATTATTGAGTTTTAATATTATTTTTAAATTTCTGATTATGTTGTGAATCGGGTATGGTCGGGGTGGGGGTTACATTTGCAGATTTAGGGTGGGCGTGGGAAGAGTTTCATCTCCTTTTGCCATGACCCTTCTTCCTCCTCTGTTCAGTGCACCCAAGATAGAGAATCAGAATCAAAATTAGAATTAGCTTTTGAAGTCTCTCTCATTGAGGACCGCAAGAAACCTCTTTTTTGCTGGGCCGATGCCAACATTGAGAGACAAAAGTTAGGGGAGCAGATGGGATTAGATACCCCAGTAGTCGAGACTCGTCTAGGCTCTCATCGAGACCAACTCACTTCTCTCTCCTTAACGTTATAGGATTGGATGTTAATAATGAAAAACATAACATCTATTAGAAGGCAATCCCTAGCACGAGAATAAGTCGTCGGTTGGTTTTGAACCTATGACAAGTTAATTAACAGCTAACCGCTCTATGCTGTACCCATGGGGACCACAGAGTGATCATAGTATAACTCTTCAATAGGAGATTCATAAGCAAATTGCTGTCGGGGCCTTTGGCAGGCACGTGTGTATAGGAAGGTCAACCACTACATAAGCTAAAAGACTACGACTACAAGCCAAGCAGGAAGTGACTAAATTCAATGGTGAACAACTGTCCAAAAGAAGAAAAAAAAAAATTGGAAGTCCGAGGACCTTTAGTACTCTACCCCCGAACCAACTGCTACTCCCTGGCCCAGTACTTCTATCCAGAGTGTTTGCCCACTTCAGAGTCTTCGCCTTTAGATAACAAAAAGTGCCCGTCCCTTAGGTCGCCAAACTACGACGAGAGTTTTGCAAGCCACCCCCACCAAGTAGGCGGCCACGGGTCATATTGCACTCTCTGCACAACAAATCCACTTTGAAGTTGATTGCTGTCACTTGGATTCTCCTTGGGTGGATCAAGGCATATTGGCGTGGCTTGAGAAACTAAAAACAAATGACAACTTTAGGGGCTCGCAAAGTAAAGTACACGGCAAATGAGAGAAATGCAACTACAAGATAAAAGCTGGGTAAAGTAGAGACTTTTTCTTTTAGTACCTGAAACCCCAATTCATGGATTTTTTGTGGATTGCGTAGGGGGATATCTACCAAAGCTAGGTAGATAGATAGACTCCTTTCCCGCTGCTAATGGAGAGCAAAGTCTTTATTGGTCTTATTCTTGTGTGCCTTGTTAGCGCGTTTCAATCTGCAAAAGCAATTGCTCAGATGTTATGGGTGGTGACACCAATTGATTGAAGCTGGTGGTTAAACCTTGTTGGACCTGTGACAAACTTTGAAGTTGAGAACAATCTCAAGGTATTTGATCAGGCTAAAGAAAGACTTCAATCCAAGAAGCGCTTTGCTTGACCTGATCGTTGTGCCAAGGGTTGGTGATGCGTTGAGCAACTCTGAGTTCCGCAGATAATCCAATATCAGAGTTTTAGTAAATGAAGAACTGTCAGATGAGGATACAGCACCTGCATACCAGTAAAGTAGTGCCCTACAATAAAGAGCACAAAGAAAGACTAGGGAACGCACCGGCATCAACTCATAACAAAACGAAGACAATGAAATCAAGCGATGAAGCGAGCTTAAAAGCTTTCCCTGGGATGAGGCTACTCCCTTACATCTGAGTTGGGGAATGCAAACATAGTGGCCCTAAAATACCTTTTGTGCTGAGTAAGGCATTGTTAACACAAGAAAGCAGACTCCATAGGCAAAACCATGGATTTTGATTTTGGTTGCCAATTATCCATTGGGCAGCCCGACACACAAAAAGAGGTGCCATTTACTGAACACAGATTCTTTCTAGTCATTTTCGGCACATCTGTTCCTTTTCCGTCTCACAACCATTCTGCACTGGTCATGTGGGGCATTAGGTTCGGGAGATAGGCAATAATAGCTCCTTTGCATCCCAAAGCACACTCCCTCCTAGGCATGCAACACTACAAGGATGGAACTCTATAATATTGAAAGATAAAATGTAGAACCTGAAAGGAAAAGAAAATAGGAATTAAGTGAACAACTCCTTCTCTCTGCCCTTATTCGAGGTAGGCTTTGTGGCACTGACTGATCTACTAAGAAAATTACAGCTGCTGAAGCTGCTCTTATCTGGCCCTGCTAGATAGTCTCCACAACCCTGCTAGAAATAAATTCTCTCTCCAGCTGGGGAAAGCTCGCTTCGCCCGCCCTATTTATCCGCTCCAGCGGAAGAAGACCCCCAAAGCATAACACTCAAAGTGGAGGGCACTAGACTCAACAACCAAAGCTACTGGTAGTCTTGAGGGAACAACATCGTATTGAGGTGATTCTCAAATATCACAGAACAGAATATCTTTCCAGCCAGATTCATCAATGCAATGGAACTCCAGAACTTGACGGGGACTCCCAGATCACTATGGCCGACTTTTGTCTTTGTTCAACCAGTCGGTCTCACCGTCACAGCTTGCAGGGCTGCACGTTTGCTTGTTTGCACTGTCTGTTGTGCTCTTAGCTTGTTTGAATTTACTGAATCAAGAACTAGCCACACATCTTGGACGAGAAGGGTCCGCTAACAGAGTACCAGCTCATTCTTGAGATCGAAAGCGCATGTGACCAGAGATGGGAAGATAAGGGCTGGAATTTCAGATCTGAAAAACCCCACACCCCCTTCACATTGCGAAACCCCCTCCCCCGCCATGACCCCTTCTTCTCCTCCCTAAAACCCTAGATTTCAGATCTAGGGTTTTTGAAATCTAGGATTTTGGGGAGAAGAAGAAAGGAGGAGGAGAAGAAGAGAAGGTGAGAGAATGAGACACCCCCCCACCCTTCTATTTTACATGTTGCCAATAGAGCGAGGGAGAGGGTTATTTCTCAAACTTCTCTTCTCTCCCTTTCTCCTCTTCTCTCTTCTCTCCCTTAGCTAGCGTTTGTGAGTTGAGAGTTTGGTTTCTACTTGGAGCTTGGGTAAAGCTCATTGGAGGCTAAAAAGTCAGACTTGAGAGTTGAACTACCATTGTCATCACCTTTTCCTCCATCTATATTTTCCTGTTAAAGCTCAACAGGTTGGAGTTCATCTCTTTCTTACATGTATATGTGTAATGTTAGGTTATTTGTTGCTTAATATTCATGTACTATTGATGGATTATTGATTCTTAAGGCCATAAATATGTTACACCTGATATCCTTTGAGCATTGAATGAGAAACCAGACTGAAATCATGATCTGAAGTCGCATTAAATGACCTAGCCAGTCGACCGGGCTGAAGGGTTGAGACATAGAAAAGAAGGCGTGTTGACCTAGATAGCGAGTGGATTGTCAGTCGAATGACCGGCCAGCACGTGGAGGAGCAATGTGTTGTGAACTGTTTGGGGACCCCTAGGGTTGGTTTCTGGACTCCTTTCTGCTCAGATTTTAGTGATAATTAATTTAATCTATGATTTTAATGATAATTAATTTAATCTATGTATTCCAGTTGGTTTGCTTGTTAGTCTTTTTAATCTTGACTTATGTAATGAAATTTGAAATGGAGAATACGATTCACTTGAGTTAATTATCCAACATGAGAGTTATAAAAATTGACAAATCGGTAATCATGGTAGTTGGAGAAATTTGGCAACAAAAACATGAAAAAGAAAAATAGGAATAATGGATTACACAAGGAAATGAGCAACAATACACAGACAAATTGGAAAACCATACCTAGCAAAGCATCCCCTCTCTCATTCCCATAGAATATGCCATTGATACAACATCTTTTAAAGATCATTCTATTTTCAGTAAGGGTTCCTGTTTTATCTGTCAATATGTACTCAACTTGTCCCAAGTCCTCACTAATTGCTGTGCTGCCATATTCAATTACCTCAGCTTAGTTAATTAAAAATGCATGTGTGAATAAACTCAAGAGCATTACGACAATTTGCATAAAAAAAATGTGTGAATAAACTCATGCATGGATGTCAATTTTCTTACTTTGCTGCATGGGCTGGAGTGCCGGTTTCTAGGTCAATCATTTGACTGTCCCAATCAATAAACTTTGCATACAAGCTCTTGACAAAATCCAGAGACACCTGCCACATAGCAGCATTGTAATGAAGCCTTAAAAGTGGTAGCCCTAAATCCTAATTTTGTAAAATTTACCAGTCTCACAATTCAGAGAATCAATTTATCATTCAGCATTGCTCTACAGGCTACAACAGATTTGAGAATTAAATGGCTGCTCATAGTTGATGTGTATTTCCGGTCCAACTTATCATTGCAGAGAAATTGGATTTACGATATATTTAGAACAATCTAAATATAAAAACATATACAAATAAATACAACAAAAAGAGAAAACATTAAAACATATACTACCCTCCATGTCAAAACTACATTCTCTCAAATATATCATTATAATGAGGATCCAGATACATTTTAGACGCGTGGAATTTTATTGAATTCCATTGCATTTCTTAATGTGGAGATGAAAGTATTATCTAACAAGAAATATGAGCTGCTTCAAATGCCTAGCTTTCAAAACCTTATTATCAATGGCAAATTCTCAACATGCCTCCAATGTCTTTTTGCAGAAAAAAATAAAAAAAGAAATACATTTACTACACTTACTGTGATGACTAGTTTCATTGTATGTCACTTCACTCATTGTCTTCATTTTGGAAGTTTTTCTCAAATTCCTATCCTTGTTTATTCCGGGTTTGAGTGTCACTTGTTTCGGAGGGTGTACGGTCGAGTCTGGAATGTCTGGAATCGAACCGGAACATTTCTGGACTGGGGAACCATGGCCGCACGTGCGGGAGGTTAGGCTACACGTGCAGAAAATAGGGGAAATGGTTGGGTGCTTACTGAAATAAAAGCACTTGAGGGAGCAGGTGCTGGAGAGGGAGGGCCACACATGCGGGGATGAAGGCCGCACATGTGGAAGGCGCACTCCGCACGTGCGGGCATGGGTGCCGCACGTGCGGTGATAGGTGAGTCCAAATTTTCAGCTTTTTCTTCTCTTTGGGCTGTTTCTTTATCACTTTTGTTGCATCTCTCTCTCTCTCTCTCTAAAAACTCTTTTCTCTCCCTTCTCTCTACAATTTCTACATCAAAACAAGATCAAATCCTTGATATTTTTACATCCATTAAAAATTTGCCCATAGCTTCTTCATCAAAGTTGAAGAGCTCCTCAAGAGCTACATTTTGTATGATGGAGATTGGGTTTTGGCATCATTGATTTCAAGGGTTTCATCTCTTTTTCTTCTTCAAAACTTAAGGTAGGGACTTTCTTAGAGTCACATATATATTTTTGCAAGATTTATTGTTGATTTTCGAAGTTCTCTTGTAAATGTTGAATATTGATGGTTGGCTCAACAATGTGGGTAGTTTGGGAGGGGTTTTGCTCCTTATTTTCCATTAAATAACTTTCTTGAGGGTTTTAAATTACATTGGCGAGGGAGAAATGTTTTTGACGAAATTCTTTCAAAAGATTGGTGGGTGTGTAGTGTGGTTGAGAAAAACCTAGAAATTGGGGTTTTCAAAAGATGTAGAAATGCATGTGGTTGACATAATTAATATGTTATTTTGTGGGCCAAATGAGTAAAGGATGAGACCTTTTTATTATTATTATTATTATGTATTAAATGATGATTTTCATGGGGCATGAGGATTGTTGATCTTGTAAATTGTTGTTCAAATGTTGATAAAGTCTTGTGAGGGCTATATTGTTGAAGGAGGTATGAAATAAAGAAATGTTGCTATTTATTGGTAGAATTAAATGAATATGTGGCTATTTTATGAAATGACATGGAAAGGAGAAATGGGGATTTTGATTCTCATGGGATTATTGTTGAAATATTTGAACATGGAGAAATAAATATTGTTGCATTGGTAATTGTTGCATTGCTTATCCATTCAACTGGTTATCACATGTTTTGATTCGAGTTTGGAAACTTGCATTGAGGAAAGAAGTTATAAGTGAATTTTATTGAAATGTTTTAGGGTAAATACGTTGGTAAGTCCGGATAGGAGGTGTAGATGAAATTGGTTAAGTTGGCCTGAGTATCTGGGTATTTCTTACAAATGGTGAGGGGCTCCTTATATAGGAGATGTAGTGGAGTAGGTGGTAGTAGGTGGTAGTGGTAGGTGTGTAGTAGGTGGTAGTAGGTGGTGGTAGGTGTAGTAGGTGGAGTAGGTGATGGTAGATTTTAACATAGATGAAATTGGTTAAGTTGGCCTGAGTATCTGGGTTGAAAGACCGAAAACACGCGCGGAGGAGGTACCACTTCCCTTCCGATTAGCAACCGGTAAAGTGGGGTATTGGTAGTGCTAGTTATGCCTACTTGCAAACACCAACCTAGGGATTACCTGACTTGTATTTACCGCCCCCATGAATTAAATTGATAATTTGTGCCTTTTTTTTGAGATTTCGAGATATCATTGAACATAAAGGATTTTCAAAAGATAATAATGTGATTTTCATGACAAAAGCATTGCATGGCATATGCATTCCTTTTTACAAGGCTTGTATAAAGTGTATATACTTTGTTAAGGATTTCTCTACTAGGCTTTATGCTCACCCCTATGGGATTTTAGTGCAGGAAAAGATGTGGCGATCCCGCCAAATTAGGGGCGTGGACATGTTTTGTGGAGGGCAAATGGCTCTTATTTTGTGGTGGTTCATGTTGCTAGCTTAGGGCCATAGATGTATGGGTTCGTGAAACCATTTTTGTGTGGCCGGGCTTAAGCCTTGGAAATTGTAAACCCTTGAGGGCATTTTATTACTTTTGAATTTGATGTTCTACATGCTGTAGATTCATGTATTTGATAACGTTGAATGTATAATTGCATGTGGAACTATTTTGTATAAACCTTAATGATTCAATGAATGTAAGGGCTGCGAATTCCAGCTTTCTTAAAATGGATGCTAATCGTTATACATATGTAATGTTATAAATTTTCGGGGCGTTACACTTACACTAATGTGAAGGAATGAGGATATGGCATCAAATTCCGATCATCATACTGAAAAATTTCAAGCAAAAGCAACTAAATGGATTTTTTTCCATAGAGATGCTATAAAGCAATTGAAAGAATCTGTATGAATTTAAAAGGGTTTGCCTCAAAATTTTGAAAATAGTATAGCATACATATCTCGCTTGTGTTGTATGCGCACTTGCATGTGGCAATTACACAACCTCCATAGGTAACAGATGGGATATTTTCCTCTCTATTCTTGATGGGTAATAAAACACTAACTCAGTTAACTATGAGATTTCAATCATTAACGAAATTGAAGAAAACTTATATAAGCTCAGCTCACAGATCTCCTTGTGGTTATGTATCAGGCTATCAGCTCTTTTCTCTTTTCTTTTTTGCCCCACTTCTTACAAGGACCACTTGCCTACTAACCGTATGCTTTCAGAACAGATCAACACGGTCAAAGTTTCAGCAAAAGTAAAAATCATGTCCACTGCAACGACAACAATGAAGGAGACTATAAGCAGCATAGAACACATGTACCTTTAGAGAAATGGGTATCATGATGGAACAAAGAAGCTCAAACCGTAGAGGGATGATCAGCAGTTCATACCATGGACCTTCATTTGGATATTGAACATACCATTGCTACAAAATGAAATAGCAAGAAGGTAGGCATAAATTTGGAAAAGATATCAACAGAAAACATAAAAGGGTTAGAATTATTTCTAGAAGTTCACAAAATATGAAGGCAAGATGAATCTGGGCAATGAAACAAAAGATCATCAATGACTAACAAGCAAATACAAGAACAGTCAGAAAAGGATTACAATTCTATGGTGGTAAGAAAGTGGACTGTCCAAAATAAATCCAAACATTAACACCAAGAGCACCACCAATTAACAGCATGCTACTATAGAAGGGTAGCTAATTGTCTACCACTTCTAACCAATCAACTCGAACCACCTCATTATTTCTTCAAGAACTGAAAGAAATGTAAATAATAAATATAAAAAAATGATCCAGATAACGTTGATTCCCACTCTATAGACTCAAGACGCTCATGAATGTTTAGGTATTACATTGATCCCACTGTATGGACTCAAGACAGTCATGAAGGTTTAAATACTTCACCTTTAGGGATCATCAAACCCTCAAAAAGGATGCACAAAAGTCAAATTTGGTTTATACCCTAAATATATGAGACCATTCACACAATTCTAAAGTAGCAAGCAAAGTTCCCAAAATGAAATGTGGTTCCAAAATAATAAAAAAGGATGTGACATGGGATACGATTTGAATATGAATAAGCAACTCAAATGGGAACTCCGAAAGAAATTTCATTAACACAAAAATAAAAATAAAATAGAAGCAAATAAAAAAATATATATATGATGCTAGAATTAAAATTGATGGTGCTTTTGGTGTAAATGTTTGGATTTACTTCATACTAAAAGTGAAGTTTTCTCTTGTTTTAAAACTTCACATAAGATGGTGACTGATCGATTTGATGCTAGAATTAAAATTATTTGGAGTGACAATGGGACTAAGTATATTAATGGAGCCTTCCAGGCATATCTTGAGAACAATGGCATTCTTTATCAAACTAGTTGTGTTGGCACTCCTGAACAAAATAAAATAATTGAGCACAAGAATGGCCATCTCCTTGAGCTTTCTTGTTCCCTCCTATTTACCATGAATGTTCTTAGGTCTTTTTTAGGTGATTCAGTTCTTAATTTTGAGGTGATGCAGTTCTTACAATTGCTGTAAGAATTGATGTTTAGGGAGAGAGAGAGATAATCAATTATGTATATATTGATGTATTATTGATTGATTTATATTGTGTTTACAATGAGTCCTATATATAGAAGATTAAAGGAGGTAGGTATGTAGTAGGTGGAGTAGTAGGTGGAGTAGGTGAAGTGGGTGGAGTAGGTGTAGTGGTAGGTTTTGGTACATTTTAACAATTGCCTATCTTATTAATCATATGCCCTCTAGTGTTCTTCAATTTAGAATTCGTCTAGAACTTCTTCCTCTGACTTCTTCCATTTCTTCTTTCCTCCTAAGATTTTTGGGTGTGTTTGCTTTGTTCATATGCAAAAATGAACACAATTTCCAGCACTCCCCCTCAAGCTGGTTTGAAGATATTTTCCATAGCCAGCTTGCTAGTCAGCTTATCAAATTGCTTCTTGTGTAGTCCCTTTGTTAGCACATCAGCTAATTGTTCACCTGTTGGAAGGTAGGTCATACAGATTATGCCAGCATTGATTTTCTCCTTGATGAAATGTTTATCCACTTCTATATGTTTTGTGCGATCATGTAGAACTGGATTATGAGCTATAGATGCTTTGTTGTCACAATAGACCTTCATAGGTGTCGGGTGAGAAAGCTTTAATTCTTCAAGAATTCTTTTAATCCACATTACTTCACAGATTCCATGGGCAACAGCTCTGAACTCTGCTTCTGCACTACTTCTAGCTACCACATTCTGTTTTTTACGCCGCCATGTAACTAGGTTCCCACCTACAAAGGAGCAGTATCCGGATGTTGATCTCCTGTCTGTAACACTTCCTGCCCAGTCTGCATCTGTCTAGGTTTTTCCACAATCAGTAACAGCTATACCAAACAGATTAACAGCTTCTGATTAAAGTCATAATCTATAATATGTTAAGCTATAATTTATAATCTGTTTTAACAGCTACACCAAACAGCACCATGGTTCGGCAATAGCCTACGTCCACAGGAAGAGGTATCCACTATAGAATTATCTCGGAGGGAGTTTACAACACTTACACCTCACTCTCTCTCTATAGCACTCTCACTCACTCAGATTATACAAACACACACTCTATGTTTCCTGTCTCTTCTCTTCCTCTTAGCATCTATATATACACGGGAAGAGGGAAACAAAGTCAAGAAATGAGTTGTTAAGCTCTCTTCCCTCCTGCTTCTTGGCTTGGAGCAAACTTTCAATAACTCCTCCATGTAGGCTAGAGCTGGCAATTCTTCTCCTCTACTCTCATATGGATAGCTGACTTCTCACTTGAAGTCTATCCGGGTCAGATTTTTGCAAACTTCCGGTTTGTCTCTAGTGACAACCTTGGTTCATGTCAGAAGCATTTTTGTCAGTGTGAATCTTTACCAGCTTCATCAGCTGCTTTTTCGTCACTTCTTGTATCCAATGATACCTAACATTAATGTGCTTTGTACCGGAATGGTACATGGAATTCTTGCTCAAGTCAATTGAACTCTGAGTATGACAATATACTTTGTACTCTTTCTGTTGTAGACTCAATTCTTGGAGAAACCGCTTCAACCACAACATTTATTTTCCAACATCTGTGGCAGCAATGTACTTTGCCTCTATTGTAGATAAAGTAACACACTTCTGTAGTTTGGACTGTTATGAAACAGCCCCCCCTACAAAGGTGAATAGAAAATCTGATGTAGATTTTCTACCATCAAGATCACCCACTATATCAACAAAATTGGTTCAGCCCCCCCAAAACATAGACACATCTTCGAAGTTTCCTTCAAGTACCGAAGAATCCATTTGACCACCTCTCAATGCTATTTTCCTGGATTGGCGATGAATATGCTCACAACGCCAACTGCATGAGCTATATCTAGCCGAGTACATACCATTACATACATCAAACTTCCTACTGCAGAAGCATAGGGGATTGCCTCAATTTCTTTTCTTTCAGAGCTGGTCATGGGACACGAACTCTTTGTCACATTGAAATGGTTAGCCAGTGGTGTGCTGACTGGTTTGGCATATTTCATGTTGAACATTTCAATCACCCGTTCAACATATTTCACCTGTGACAACCATATCTTCTTGGCTTTTCTGTCACGAACAATCTTCATACCCAAAATCTATTGTGCTAGGCCTAAATTCTTCATGTCAAAATATTGCGACAAATCCTTTTTCAACTTGTTGCTCATAGTAATATCATATTTGATGATCAGCATATCATCGACATACAATAGTAGAATGATGAAGTTTCTATTCGAAAATCTTTGAAAATATACACACTGGTCTGCTACCATTCTTGTGTACTCGTGATCCACAATGAATGAATCAGATTTCTTGTACCATTGTCTCAACGCCTGTTTTAGGCTGTAGAGACTCTTTTTAGTTTAGAAACTAGATTCTGTTTCCCTTTAATTTCAAATCCTTCTGGTTGCTCCATATAGATATCTTCACCAAATCACCATGGAAAAAGACAGTCTTGGCATCCATATGTTCTACTTCCAAATTTAAGCGAGCTGTTAATCCCAAAGCTACTCAGATGGAAGTCATCTTCACAACGGGAGAGAAGATCTCATCAAAGTCAATTCTCCTTTTTTGTCCAAAACCTTTGACCACACAATCCATATTCAATTTAGGTTTGTCCAACATTTCAATCTAAAATGTTAGGATCCAATAATCTATTTAGCACACCAATAAGCAATCACAAATAACAACATAAGAGATTTACATGGGAGGTGTTTGGTGAGGCTTTTTTGAGCCATCTTAATGTGTGGAGGTCCGGCGGGCGGCCAAGGCGAGGCTGCCGCCCGCCGGTGAAGCAGAATTACTAGCTTCTTAACCTTGCTCTGATACCATGTAAAAATTAATGTATTATTGATTGATGTATTTTGTGTTTACAATGAGTCCTATATATAGAAGATTAAAGGAGGTAGGTATGTAGTAGGTGGAGTAGTAGGTGGAGTAGGTGAAGTGGGTGGAGTAGGTGTAGTGGTAGGTTTTGGTACATTTTAACAATTGCCTATCTTATTAATCATATGCCCTCTAGTGTTCTTCAATTTAGAATTCGTCTAGAACTTCTTCCTCTGACTTCTTCCATTTCTTCTTTCCTCCTAAGATTTTTGGGTGTGTTTGCTTTGTTCATATGCAAAAACAATTTCGCAGAAAGGTTAATCCCAAAACTTCGCGTTGTGTCTTTATTGGGTACTTTGCTACTCATAGGGGATATAAATGTGATGATCCTCAATCCAGCAAGGTATATCTTAGTATGGAAGTCACCTTTCGTGAATAAGTCTTTTTTCCTTCATCTCAGCCATCTCTTCAGGGGAGAGTAATATGGAAGAAGAAATGACTTCTTATTAGCATGAGTTATCTGTTTTCCTTCCTACTCAGCGAGCTATTATTTTTGGTGCGGGGGAGCAAGAGACAGTTACTGAAGGGAAGCCTAACATTGGTGGGCTATTAGACAAGATTGATTTTAAGACCTATTCACGGCGTTAGAAAGAACAAACTTCTCTTATGCCACCACATCAATTATCATCCTTGTACCAGTTTCGAATCATTCGTCTACTGATTCTTCATGTAATGAATGTCCTACTGTTACCCTCGGCAGTGATAATCAAGTTGATGATTCAGAACTTTCTATTGCTCTTAGAAAGGAGGTTAGAACTTGTACTCAGAATTATATATTAAAATTGGCATCTTATGATTTATTGTCTCCTACATATCGTGTTTTTGCGTTCATCCATTTTTATTTTCTCCTTGTTTCATGTTTATTTCCATCCACACTGTAAATTTAACACCTAATAAAGTACAATGGTGACACCCCCTCAGCGTCCATCTAAACAAATACTACATTTACTTATAAAAAAAGTAAGAAAAGTAATGACTACAGAGTTCTGGGTGAGTATCAAAATCAGCAGCAAATCATTGAAAGTGTAAGGAAGACAGTGGCTGCAGATAAGAAGTGGCTATGAAATACTCAAGAGTCACAATTATAAACAGGTAACAGAGGGTCAAAACAAAAGTGATTCTTATGCAGTGAAAAGCTGAATGGTTGAATGATAGAATTCCATGCACACTACAGCCACATAGTCTTCACAAAAGAAAATACAAACAGATTATGAAAACTAACTGAACAAGAAAAGTGCACTCACAAATTGGGACAAACCTTTCTTGCTTCTGTATCCTTCCAAATATTTCCGGCTATTCCTAGAACAATAACAGCCACTATCTGGAAAAGAAATATTGCTCCAGTCAGATTGTCAATCATCGCATCCACAGCAGTAAGCTTTGGTGCAGCGATACCCCTGCTCATACCCAGCTTGGTTTCATTGCCTAAAGATAGAATAATTAGAATCAGGAAGTGTACTGGCCTATGTTAGAATTTACCATCACCTACCACACACTTACCATCACCTACCACATCAAACAATACATCAATCAATAATATATCAATTTCAACAGCCTATATGAATCAGCAAGTATACCGTAATGGCGTAATCTAGACCAACAACACAGATCATTTAGACGCAACCATGCAATGAAAGAACACATCAAGGAATTCTAGGGATAAATATATAAATAACTTGAATTATCAAACTTCTTTGCAGGGTGCATTTCCACCTAAACATGTCGGACACAAATCCCATGTCCATACTAAGGTGCCTTGTGTTTGACAAGAGTACTTACAATTAGATGAGTCCATGTAACATAGCTTTGCACATTACAATTTTGGGAGTATCCCAAAGGCAGTAGAAAGAAAGACAATGAACTTAATTTTGCAAATAATTCAAAACTTTTCTCCACATTCATGGCATCCATGTGTAATCAACAACAAAATAGTAATATTATAAATAATAATATAAAGAAAGAGTACAAAAGAAAATGGAAAACAAGAAGTCCACCAAGAGAAAACAATAATAAAAAACAAAAGCTACATGTCAGACACATCTCTACTAATAAAAAAAATGGAATCCCCTCATAAGGAGATGAAACTAAGGCCCAACAAGAAGAAAAAAAACTAAAAATCTTATCCCATAACCCCTCTAAATCATCAAACACTCTTGCATTCCTTTCGAGCTATATCCCCCGAAATTGTTACATGGTCTTCAGTAGAACTCAACCCCGAAAGGTAGCTCAAAAGGTGAGGGTGCCCTCTCACTTATATGCTTAACACTACTCTAGTACTCGGGCAATGTGGGACTTCACTTCACGCCCTCCCTCACGACTAGCATGCTCACTCAGTAGCACCTGCAGCGTGCAGGCCAAGGACATGCACCCTACCCATCACCGAGTACTTCAGCTCTGATACCATATAACCAAAGGTAATGTTGTGTATTATTCAATGATTAACCAAAAGCTAAAGTACAATATATACATATATACTAAACTACCAAAACACTAAAGAACTAATTACGAACATAAGACTAAAATACCCTTAAGTAAATGATAGAATAAAAATAATATAAGATATAGATATTTCACAGTATCTTGTAAAAAGTCCAAGCCAAAAGACTATAATGCCTAAGGTCCTTCACTTATATTTTTTATTGTGAAAATGATAAGTTGGACATTTTTACCCATCTCTCTCTTTCTCTCTCTCGCGCGCGCGTGCACACACACACACATAATATTTAGCGGTTGAAGTCCCCACCATCAGCCATCGCAGCTTATTGTCTCCACCATCTACCACTGTCTCAAATCTACCACCAACGACCACCACCTTCACAGTCAACCTCTACCATCTCAGATTCACTAGCGACAAACTCATATCTAAGACCAACAACCTCAAATATCAAATCAAAAACCTCAAATCTGTGAGAAGGCGACCACCAGAGTTGTCGTGTCTCTTTCCATTCTCTCTTTACCATCATTTCAGATCTACCATCGGTGACCACCACCTTGTCTCTTTTCATTCTCTCTCTCATCTCTCACTGCCCAAAGAATTTTTTGTTGTTAGGATCAATTTGAATATTGAGGTTGGCATCTAAAACAAAGAAGTTGTTTTAGTGGTTTAATTTACTATTTAATTATTTAGTAGCATGCTAAGATTATTTATTAAATGTTTTGATAAATTTTTCGTTTAATATTTGTATTAATAATGATAAAATCTAGTGAGTGTGGCGGTTAGTGATAGTGATGGTAATGGTGAAGATTTATTGTTTAAATGCTAAATCAATATAGTTAAATTTTACTATCCTGTATAGAGTAAAATTTTACTATCTACAAAACCGTGAATTTTGAAAAACAATTTTGTTATTTGCTAGGTAGTGGTGGTGGTGGTTGTCATCGAAAAATGGTCGCTAAAGATTCACATCGGAAAGTGTACACTGTAAAGTGCCTAGTGACAGATGGTCAAAAAACAATCGCCAGAGGTAGTAGCCGTCGATGACCACTAGCTGCCAATAGTGGTGGGCGACGGGAAGGACGTTAGTAAAATTTCACTTGGGGTACTTTCATCATAGTTTAATCATATTTTGACATTTTTCCTTAATGAATGAAAACTTTTTAGCTTGTCCTTTTTGAAAGAGAAGTTTAAATTGAGGGATCTCTCACCACAAGCCCCGATTAAGAATTGGGAATTTAATGCATCTAACTCCTAAACACTTGTCCATGTAACATAAACCAATTTCCCTCTCTTGCTTGATACCTTCAACTCATCATCTTTTGGCTCCTGCAAATAGGTAGGGGTGGTCCATTGGACTGCGCAATTGAAATCATTTCATTTTGTATTAACTAATTCAAAAATCACAATTCAGGTGTTCCGTAGGCATTGAACGGAACATTTGTTGAATCTATCAGATTTAAATTAAGTAATCCCAAGTCTTAAAAGCAATGACCAAATTTATATTTCATGAAAAAAGCAATTTTATTAGCTTTTTGGTTGTTTCATTTTACAACAAAATACTTCTAAGTCTCAGATTCATGAATGAGTTAAGTACAAAATTTCCAAATTCATAGTTTTTGGACAACCAACTCGGTTTTAAATCAATAACCTCAGGCCTCAACAATCCCAAAATAAACATTGCTCCCTGCCTCTCCCATTCTTTGTTGCTCCAAATCCCCATTAGCTGCTTTAAATAAATTGTAACCCTAGACAAGCCCAAACAACGAAAGGAAATAGATGAAACAGAAAAGTTAATATACACAAAGTAGACATAATAATAACAAAACAGAATTTTACCACGGCATAGCCAGGGTAAAAAGTAATATCATGTAGCAGATCCTAATACGGTGTAACGATGGCTTCGACATTTGGTAAATTAGGTACTTGCCTGTGTAAACAGCAACTCCACAAGCCCACTCAGTATTTCGCAAGTAGCATGATTGAAGAATTGTATTTTTGATAGTTAAAGGACACACGTCATTGTCAATGAATGGAGGAAACAACCGCAAATTTGCATCAAATCTTCTAATGTCTTTATCTGGATTGGGACACTCAATTACACCCTGCCAAAGAAATAGAAATTGCAAAATCATCACCATCACAATAACTTGAAGGGGAAATATTAACAAATTTTTTACCCACGATAAGGTATAGAAAATCTTGCCTTGATTTTGTGTAATAGCTCAAAATCTATTCCCATGCAAGCAGAGGGTATCACCCTTGTCTTAAGATCAGTTTCACCATCTAAGGCAGCCGTCTGTTAAACATGTTTACATATTAGAATCTCTGAAATATTGCAAAAGAACAAAATTCGTGTTCCTAAGAAAATACTGTATCATTTACAAATTACAACATATTAAGTAGAATTAGTCATAGGAGATGGAAACTTGTGTTGCCAAAAAAGTAGACATGCAGTGCAATTTTGCCAAAAACCCATGGGGAGAAAGATGCAAAACAAAGTGTTAGAATATTTTCTTATTTCCTTCTTTAGATTAGATTGTGATTCATCGATTGATTGATTGATTGATTATGATTCTTTAATCAGTCAATCAATCAATCAATATAAAAGGTGATTCATTAATCAATGCCTTAAGACTTCCTTTTGTAACAGTTGATTGATTAATATAAAAAGTGATGACATCATAATCATCACCCAAGCTTTGTATTCTCTTAAATTACATGGTATCAGAGTCAAAACCCTAAAAACTATCACCCACACAGCCGCTGCCACCAACCAGCCATCACCTATCACCACCCATCCCCCACCGCTGGTCCCTAAGTCTATATCGGAACCAACCAAGGTCTCATAGAGTTGTTTCGGCTTCAACTGAAGGCCCTTTTGGCCTAGTCAACCCTTGTGAGGGCTGTCCTAGCCTCTCTTTGTATATTTCGGCTCCTGTGAATGAGTGTTTGAGGGTTACCCATCTTCTGTTGCCCCAAGTTTCTTTCCCTCTAGTTTCTTGAACACAGTTCAACACTTGTTTTGATTAGAGGTTCATTTTCCCGTAGTTAATTTATTTTTGGGGTCTATAGATGACCCATAAATCTGATTGTTATGTTCCCATAGTGGTTTGTATGTGATTTTGCTTGTTCCAACCCATTCTATTCCTCTTTCCATACTTGTGATTCGTGCAATGTTTTTTGGGTTGAAATTGTAGAGTTTTTATGGCTGACCTAACTAGTGAATCCACCACTACTTCTCACCCATCTAAAGGGGAGAGCTCCAGTCCAGTTATGACTACTATATCTAAGAACCTGAACCCTAGCCTCAAAATTACCACCACTCCGTTTAATGGTCAGAATTACCTTTCATGGCCTCAGTCACTTTTTTTAAAGAGTAAGGGGAAGATTGGATATGTTAATGGGAGAGTTCAAGCACCAGGTATTACGGCTCCTGGCTATAATCAATGGGAGATTACCAACTCTTTAATCATGGGGTGGCTCATTCATTCCATGATTCCTAAGATTGGTGAATGCTACTTATCTATGAATACTGCACAGGATATTTAGGAAGCAGTCGCCGCTATATATTCTCGAAAAGGAAATTTTTCTCAGTCTTTTGAGCTGCGCCAGTCTATTAAGCGCTCAGTACAGGCGGAGCAGACAGTTCTCTAGTATTACACCTTTCTGACTAATGGTTGGAAACACCAAGATCATTTTCTGGATTACAAACATGTCTGTATAATTGACTCAGTTGGTTACCAGAAGTTTCTTGCATAGGAAAAGGTCTTCAAGTTTCTGGAAGGCCTCAATGTGGAGTTTGATCCGGTCTGGAGTTGTGTCCTTGGCATGGATGTTCTTCCATCTCTTCAAGAGGCCTTTGCATATGTACAGAATGAGGAGAGTTGTCGTTCTGCTATGTTACCACCGGCTACTGGAGACCGTTCAGAAGAACGGTCAAAAGAACCAAACCTCCTTCTAGAAAAAGGGTCTGGTACTAGAGGCGGTCGATTAGGCTAGTCTAAAGGACGTGGCTCTAATCCAGGGGCCCATCAATCTAGTGTTGTTGACATCCTTGATTCTATTTCTGCTTCAATTGGTCCGACTTTTGATAGTTTATCTAGTATGACTTCTCCTAAGCTTGAGGCTGTTCTGTGTCATTTACTGGCCTGCCAGTCTTCTATTGCTCCCAGTGCATCTTCCTTGTCGTTTGCCCGCTCAGGTAACATAGCCTCTTCTCCTAGTGCTTTTCTTTCCCACAAGTCTTTGCCATGGATTATTGATTCTGGTGCCTCAGATCATATGTCTAGGTCTTTTGAACTTTTCTCAGCATATAAGCCCTCTTCAGGTCAAGACAAAGTTAGAATTGCAGATGATACTGTTTCTTCTATCTCTGGGAATGGTTTAATTCATGCCACCCCTACCTTACCTCTGTCTTCAGTGCTCCACGTTCCCAATTTTTCTGTTAATCTTCTATCCTTAAGTCGTATTATTAAAGATTTGAACTGTAGCGTGACATTTTTTCCTGATCATTGTCTTTTTCAAGACCTTGTCACGAGGACGATTGGCAGTGGTAGTGCAGAAAATGGTCTCTATTTCTTGGATCAGAACAAGCTTGCTCATCATTCCATCCAGTTCCTAACCACTAAGGAGGATTTATGGCTGTGGCATCGGTGTCTTGGGCATCCTTCTTTTCATTTACTTAGGCATTTATTTCCGTCTGTTTTTACAATTAATAATGTGTCTAAGTTTCTTTGTGAGTCTTGTCAACTTGGCAAACAACACCAAGCTTCTTTTGCTCCAAGTCTTAATAAAAGTTTAGCTCCTTTTTCTTTAATACATTTTGATGTGTGGGATCCATCTCGTGTTGTGTCTTTAAAAGGCCATAGATGGTTTGATACATTTATTGATGATTTTTCTCGTACTACTTGGGTGTATCTCATGAAAGAAAAAAGTGAGGTTTTCTCTGTGTTTTAAAATTTTCATAAAATGATTTGTAATTAGTTTTGGGCAATTGTCAAAATCTTGCATTCTGATACTGGGGGTGAATACATCGATTCGGGGTTAGAGAGCTATTTTTCCACTCATGGTATTATACATCAAACATCTTGCACCAATACCCCTCAACAAAATGGGGTTGCAGAGCGTAAAAATCGCCATCTTCTTGATATGGCTCACTGGATGTGTTTTTCTATGAGTGTGTCTCAGTCCTACTGGGGCGAGGCTGTTCTCACAGCAGCTATCTCATTAATTGTCTTCCTACCTAGATTTTGCAAAAACAAGCTCCACTTCAAATCCTCGGTTCAAAGTCTTTGTTTTCCATTCCCCTAAAATATTTGGTTATATCTGTTTTGTCCACAATCATTCTCCTACTCATGGTAAATTGGACCATCGCTCTCTCAAGTGTGTTTTCCTCGGATACTCGCCTAATCAAAAGGGGTATAAGTGTTATCACCCTCCTTCTCGTAAGTGGTTTGTGTTCATGGATGTCACATTCTTTGAGTCCCAGTCCTACTTCTTGTCTTCTCCAGTGTCACAATCATCCCTTCAGGGGAAGCCTTGGTGTGAAAAGATTCTTGTTGTCCCTGTTGCTCCTATGGTGGAACCAGTTGTTCCTGCACCACTTATTATTGGGACTATAGAATCCAATGCCACCAAAGACAGGGAAGAGCAACTTTATGTCAGGGACAAAGACAGACAGAAAGTTACTTGGATACAAGAGACCACTTCTACTCACCCATTGCCATCTCTTGTTTCTGATAAGAGTCCAGGTAACTTTAAACCTCTTATTTCTCTTGAGTCTACTAATATTGCTATTCCTGACACTACTGATCTTGATATTTCTATTTTCAAGAAAAAGGGTGTGAGATCTTGTACTCAACATCCTATCTCAAATTTGTGTCCTACTCTCATTTGTCTTCCTCTTATATAGCCTTTGTGTAAAACATTTCCTCTGTTAGTATTCCTAACCATTTTCAAGATGCTCTCGCTAAGCTATGATTGAGGAAATAAAAGCACTTCGTAAGAATGACACTTGGGAATTAACTGAGTTACCTAACGGCAAACGATTGGTAGGATGCAAATGGGTGTATACTGTGAAGCACAAAGCAGATGGTTCCATTGAGCGTTACAAGGCTCAACTTGTAGCAAAAGGCTTCACTCAGACTTATGGAGTAGACTATCAGGAGACTTTTGCACCAATGGCTAAGATGAATTCAGCCAAAATTTTCTCTCTCTAGCATCTAGTTTAGATTGGCCACTTCATTAGTTTTATGTAAAAAATGCTTCTTACATGGTGATCTAGTATATATGGATATTCCTCTTGGTTTTGAGGATGATTAGACAAAGGGTAGAGTATGCAAGCTTCGGAAGTCGTTATATGGTCTCAAACAGTCTCCAAGGGCTTGGTTTGAGAGATTCACTCAGCTTATACTTAAATATGGTTTCAAACAGAGTCAGGCAGATCACACTTTGTTAAACATTCCTCACATGGTAAGACTACAACTCTCATTATTTATATGGATGACATACTGCTTGCAGGCAATGACAGTGAGGAAATACCCCTGTGGAAGAAATATTTAGCTAGTGAGTTTGAAATCAAAGACTTGGGAAACTTGAAGTATTTTCTGAGAATTGAAGTTGCTCGCTCCAAGGATGGGATTTTCATCTCAAAAAGGAAATATGTTCTTGACCTTTTGAAGGAAACATGGATGCTTGGATGTAAGACCTGTGATACCCCACTAGAATCTAATCAGAAACTTGGTGATGATAAGGGAGGACTAGCTGTTGATAGTGGAAGTTATCAACAGTAAGCTCATTTACTTAACTCTCGTCCTGATATTGCTATTACTGTTAGTATGGTTAGCCAGTTTATGTATGCTCCTCATCAAATTCACTTAGAGGCTGTTATGAGAATTTTGAGGTACTTGAAATCTTCTCCTGGAAAGGGCCTTTACTTTTCCAAACCTGATCACCTCAGAGTGGAAACCTATACAGATGCTGACTGAGCAGGGCCAATAACTGATAGGAGATCTACATCAGGATATTGTACCTTTGTGGGCGGCAATCTTGCTACTTGGAGGAGTAAGAAACAGAATGTGGCGGCTAGGTCGAGTGCAGAAGCTGAGTTTAGAGTAATGGCACAAGGTGTGTGTGAACTCTTGTGGATCAGACTGTTGTTGAGTGATCTGAGGATGGGCCAGACAGACTCTATGCGGCTATATTGTGATAATAAGGCTGCCATCAACATGACAGGACGAAGCCTGTTAAGATTGATCGCCACTTCATCAAGGAGAAACTCACCAGCGGCATGATATGTGCTCCTTTTGTCAAGTCAGGCAAACAACGTGCAGATATCCTCACCAAGGGAGTTGGGAGTAAACCATTTCATGACATTCTAGGCATACGAGATATCTTTGCACCAACTTGAGGGAGAGTGTTAGAATATTTTCTTATTTCCTTGTTTAGATTAGATTGTGATTGATTGATTGATTGTGATTCCTTAATCAGTTAATCAATATAAAAGGTAATTCCTTAATCAGTGCCTTAGGGCTTCCTTTTGTAACTGTTGATTGATTAATATAAAAGGTGATGATATCATAATCATCACCCAAGCTTTGTATTCTCTTAAATTACACAGAGGACCTTGACAAAAAGTGTATTCGATGCAAGAAAAGAAGTTTGACCCAAGGGAAGTTGACATGCTTAACTAGCTCACTCTCCAGCTCTCTCATCTTAGCCATGTATACAGAGCATGATAATAACGAAGATCCAATCCGGCAATTTTGTATGGAGCTCAACTTGGACCTTGTCCAATAAAGTTCAGCTTTAAGTCTTACTTTACATTTTCAGAGAATAGGTTGATGATTTATTGACCAGTTTGGAAAGTGTCAAGTATCAAATTTTCTGTTTCCTGAATTTCTGGCAACACAACAAAGAGCATGTAGAGCTACTTGCTTCTGTTTTCCTTTATTGGAATCAAACAAAAACAAAAAATTGGCTCAAAAGACACAAGTGATAATGCTTTTTCACATGTTAAAAAATAAAAATAAAGTGAAAATGCTGATAAAAACACAGAGAAGTAAAAACACAGTAGAGGGTCTATACCATTGAAAGCACACAAGAGCCCCCAAGCCTTCAAATTTCGTTGGCTACAAAGGGGCTCCCTTTTTTGCCATTAAAAAGCCCTCAAGCCCTATCTATCATCCTTCATCTGCTTCAGTTACCTCACACACACACACATGTTTCAACAACTAATACTTAACAACAGTGGCCAAGATGATGCTAATCATATGCGTTCAACCAATCATAGTGGTCAAGTGTCTTGATTAATGGTTTAACATTGAGAGATACCATAAAAGTATCAAACAGAATAACTTCTGAGGTCATATATTTACCTCTACACAGCAAAGACCTTGCGGGTCAGAGGCACCAATTAGAACAACATCACATGGCACTTCATCATTCTCACGAAGCCAAACAATATTACCAACACGAATGTCTTGGGCTTGAATCTAAAATTGAATACACCAACCAAGGCAGATGGAAAACAAAATGTTAGTGTAAAAAAATATAGTATGAAACTCATTTAAGAAATTTAAAAATAAGTCAAACAATGTCCCAACAAATGAACATAAACATTGTATCATGTCATTTCTATTTACAAGATGTCTAAAATTTTGGTCTTTGGCTGCTGAAATCTATCTATATCCATAAAAAGTATGAGGCAAGTGAATCTGACATTAATATACTTTTCAGATTTTCAGATCACACATATAACAAAATTACGTCACAAATTTAATAAGCATCAGAATTTCCTGACAATATTTATCATACAGGATATGGCTAGCATGTAATAACGAACAATTAAAGTCAAGAAATAACCATATCACATAAAACGCTTGTCATACCCATTATATACACCCTACCCATCCTTTAATGGTGTGAAGTCCTCAAAGAAAATATATTATGTCCATCACTATTACTAACGATTACAAAAATGACTGATCATCATGGTTTAAATTTGATTAGGCTGAACAAATTTCTGATTAGTATACCTACAGTGATAGTGACTCATGCCATCCCTATGATTGTATTATGTAAAAGCCTTTGGCTGTCAAACAACAATATTAGATTTCATTCAAAGGCTACATCTATTTTTGAATAACTATTCTAACAGTTTACAAACAAAGGCACAAGGAAAAAAAAAACAGCAGTCCATCAGATAGTGAAAACACAAGTGAATGAGAAGGTACAAACCAACCACTATAATTGCCATTCATCTCTCTGCTTCTTTAAATTAGAAAAGCATTGCATAATGAAGTGATCATATAACCATCAGAACCTAAAGCCTATTAGATAGACAACCAAAGGTATAAATCTCTCTTCATCCAATTCCAGTAAGTCCAACTACACTAGTAGTCTTTTGGCCTGCGAAGCAACTGTATATTAATCTCCTACAGCAAGAATATCCACTCTTTCTTCTTCTTTTTTTCTTTTTTTGATCCATGAAAACCCATAAGCTTCTACAAGAATATCCTGAAGCCTAGACTTTTGGCATATTGAAAAAATTGCTTACTAAAGAGATCTATAACTACTGAATTCTTAGAATCAAAAATCTGTTTTAGAAAGCAAAAGAAATAGAAAAATGACATATATAAACTAGAAAACCAAACTAAGAATTGTCAACAGCATAACGAATTTTCCAATGTGGACAAATATTTTCTCCAATTTAACTGTGATTTTTCTCTGCAAACAATGACAAGATGAGGAAAATTTTATCAGAACAGTAGCTTACGATGCTCAAAGATAGTTCAAGTGGCATAGATCAATTATGTGATTTAAATTGCTTTAGAACAGCATTGGCAATAACGTGCTGAAATTCATTTGTCCACATTGGGTTGAGCAGCATCTTTCAGCAGCCTCTACCTATACCATTACGTAATAGCCACTATTTAAAAACCTTGTTCCACTCCAAGGTGACATTCAACTTAACACTCATTACATTACACTAATGGTGGAGTCTAAACCTATTATTGTTGTCCTTACTAATTACGTAATTAAATTCATGTGTAATGGCAACCAAGAGAGTTCCCACCTCCAGACAATGTAGTGTAGAGAACACATGGACAAAATCACTAAAAGTGCTTTTTGAACATGCATCCAATCATAAACACTAGGACATCCATCAATAGATGACTATCCTAGGAAAGAACAACCAAATTCCAGTGGTAGGCAATGCCAAAGGGCTTTGAAAGCACACAGCTTTCCAAACCCAGCAATAAGGGTAGTGGAGACATCTTAAAAACCCCATGGTGACAGAGACATAAAAAGAGAGGCATGACTTGATTTTTTTTTACACAATGATAAAAATAAAAAATAAAATCAAAATTGTCAAACCCATTACTCTGCATCAATCTGCAGTGGATTACACCAAAGTAGAGAACTTTCAAAACATTTGCCCCCATCTGCTTGAATCCCAGTAAATCACTTTACAAGGGAACATAATTTTTTGATTGAAATACTAGAGATGTCTTGTTGTTCCCATCTCTTCAACCAACATTTGACACATTGCTCAACCAATTTTGGATAAACTTCAGCCAACCATCTAAAAATCATATAACTATGTTTATGCAAGTAATTATATTCAGAGCTTTATGTCATCCTTCTTTGCTATTTTATACTTCTAATCTCTATTACCCATTTGCTACTCAATATTTTCATCATTGCCTCACCAAAACAAACAGATGACCAACAGCTGTTAGTTTCTTGATTGAATAGATAAATTCGAATCATGCTTCATCTTCATCAAATAATACCTTTATCCTTTATGAGCAAAAAGGTGAATAAAGCATCCATACGGTTTGATCTCTCCTGAAACATCGCTGCCTTTTAAGACTCCCTAATGACTACAAGAGCATATTTAGTCAGTTTTGACTCCTTAAACTATTAACATATTGTCCTGTCAAAGTAACTAAAGCTAGATTGCTAAGATCGAAACATTTAATTTCGAGGACCATCTATCTGCCCATACTCCAGAGAATTTTTGCGCCATACCCAATTTGCAGCAGCTTGTTCTCTGTAATGTCCTCTCTTCAGTCAATTTTGCACAGTATTGTATTTTTTTCTGCCACATATGAAATTCAATGCTCTAGTGTACCCTTCAAAAGTATTCAAGGGGTTCAAGGAGGGTGTGCAATAAATGGGATTATATTTTGGTTAGTGGATGTCAGTTTCTGTTTGGCATTTGCAATGACCTCGTGTTGTAGACGTTATTGCATCTAATTGATTTTCATGATGATCCTTCATCCATCTTATTGCCACCTTCAATGTTATATCATGAAGTTTGAACTTAAACACTTTCCTCTGAAAGGTATAAGCTAGACCCCCACAAATATGGTGCCTACATAATGCCATCAATTTGCTTTCCTTGCGATTAGTTATGAACAAATTTAAAGTGTCTCAGACATTAAAAACAAACACGAAACAACATAAATAGCATGCTATTACTTGTTGGCAACAAGATGTATAATTGATTGCATAAATTTATACAAACACCCAAATTTACATCAAAACTATTTAATGGCAGGTCTCATGGGGAGCTTCTATTTCCACAGACCACTTTCTCTTGGTTCACACACTATTTTTAGTTTGGAAATCAACTTCTGAACAAAACTTCATGGTTCGGAAATCAACTTCTGAACGAAAATATATGGTTCGGAAATCAACTAATGAACCAAAGATATAGCCGAATCATAGCCATTTGTTCGAAAGTGGATTTGCGAACCATGTAGTTTTGTTCGGAAGTTGATATCCAAACCAAAACAATGTGTGAATTGAAAAAAGGTGGTGTATGAAAATAGAAGCTCCTGATCTCATGTTTTATGAAGCAGTACATAAATACCGGAAAAGTAATATTGTGTTTGCCTTTAAATCAATATCTTTCAGAAAAAATAATGATGAGAAAGTAATTGTTGTATTCTCACCTGATGAAATCAACTAAAAATCACAGTTAACAAGCATTGACCATAAATCTGGAGAAATAGAAGAGTGCAGCAATCTAGGCCAAGGAATCACACAACTTAATTAATTTTCAAGAGATGTGGGCCAACCCAAGGGCAACTATTCTGTGCAAATATTGTCAAAGGTTAGGCATGTACCCCAATCTATCCCTCCCAGAATCCCATCCAATGGGGAGTACACTCAGTGTAGTTTTTTAGATGTATGTTCTAATATCCCATAATAATTACAGTTTGAAGGTAAAATGAAGAGATTTAGGGTTAGGGTTTAGAAGAAGGAAGAAGAAGATGAGAGAAGAGAAAGAAGTTTTATATATATTTGTGTACATTGTTTTCTCAACTTTACATCCGCAATATATATACAAACCCTAACAACACAATATGACCATCATACCCTCAACTTACGTAGATACTAACAAAAGAACAAGAGAACAAAAATAACTATATTAACACTCCCCCTCAAGCTGGAGCATAGAGGTCAAACATGCCCAGCTTGACGGATAAACAATGAAACAAAGGCCGAGCCAAAGGTTTGGTGAGAATATCACCCAATTGATCTTCAGAACGAACATAAGGAGTCACAAGTTGCTTGCGCAGTAAGATATCACGAATGAAATGGCAATCAAGTTCTATATGTTTGGTCCGTTCATGAAACACTGGATCATTAGCAATGAAGCTAGCAGCCTGATTGTCACAAGACATGCTCATAGAAATGGGAACAGAAAAGCCAAAATCCTAGAGAAGAAATTGAACCCAGAGCATCTCAGAAGCAGTATGAGCCATGGCACAGTATTCAGCATCGGCGCTAAAACGAGCAACAATAGTCTGTTTCTTGCTACGCCAAGTAACAAGATTTCCACCAACAAAGGTATAATAACCCAAGGTGGAACGGCGATCAATCCTATTTCCAACCCAATCAGCATCACTGAAGCCAGTGACAGGCAACGAGAAAGATGGGCACTAGAGCAAACCTTGGCCCGGAGCACTCTTCAAGTATTGCAAGATACGACACACAGCCGCAAAATGGGGTTGGCAGGGAGTATACATAAAATGACTGAACACATTCACGGCATACGTAATATATGGACGAGTGACAGCGAGATAGATTAACTTCCCAACCAACTGACGATAATGACCAATATCAAGAAATAAGTCCCCAATTTCACCATTAAGCTTGACACTCAAATCCATGGGAGTATCACTAGGGCGAGTGCCTAAGAGGCCAGTCTCAGTGAGAAGATCAAGAACATATTTTTGTTGGGAGAGAAACAAGCCTTGAGAAAAGCGAGCAACTTCAATCCCAAGAAAATACCGAAGATGGCCCAAGTCTTTGGTGTGAAATTGTTGGCCCAAATTCTACTTCAAATCAGCAATACCAACGGAGTCACTCCCAAAAATGATTATGTCATCCACAAAAACAATAAGAACAATACTCCCACTAGACGAGTGGCAAACAAAAATAAAGTGATCAAAGGTGGAACAGTGAAACCCATAGGCAAGTACAACGGCACTGAAGCGATCAAACCAAGTACAAGGGGACTGCTTGAGACCATACAAGGCCTTTTGCAATCGACAGACAAGATGCTCTTGATCGGGAACAACATAGCCAAAGGGTTGATCCATATAGACCTCCTCTTGGAGATTACCATAAAGAAAGGCATTCTTGATATCAAGTTGATATAAAGGCCAAGACTGATTAACAGCCACAAAGAGAAGAATCTGAACAGAGTTCACACGAGCCACAGGAGAGAAAGTCTCCACGTAATCAACGCCATATGTCTACGTGTCGCCTTCGGCTACCAGGTGAGACTTAAGCCGCTCAACAGTTCCATCAAGAAGATACTTGACAGTATAAATCCAATGACAATCCACAATAGATTTGCCAGACGACATAGGGGTAAGTTCCCACATCTGATTCTTATAAAGGGCATGCATTTCCTCATCTATTGCATGCTTCCAACTAGAGATGGACATAGCTTCCTGATAGGAGCAGGGAATGGAAATACTAGACAGGCTACAAGCAAAAGAGTGAAGACAAGGAGAGAGAAGCTCATAAGAAACGAAATTAGCAATAGGATGTTGAGTGCAAGTACGTTTACCTTTGTGGATTGAAATAGGAAGGTCATTAGAGGGTATATCGGCAGATGGAACAGGGGGGGACAAGAACCTCAGACGCAGGAGATGAACTAGTCAGGCCATAAGACACAATGCGTCGAGCTTGAGACCGCTGATAAACCTGCAAAGGAGAAGTGGAGGCAAGATGATAGGGAGATGATATAGACGTGGAGGAGGAAGGAACACAAGAAGGAAAAATAGGGGTGAGAGAGGCTGGCTCCCCCTCACGACAAGAGAGAAGATCAATGGAAAATCATTGCCCATAGAAGGAGAAAAAAGGAGTGGACTCAAAAAAGGTAACATCAGCACTGACAAAGTATCGACGCGACTCAGGATGATAACATCAATACCCTTTTTGAGTACGAGAGTAGCCTAAGAACACACAGTTGCAAGCACGAGGAGATAACTTATCTAAGCCGGGTTCAAGAACATAGACAAAGGCCACACAACCAAAAACAAGAGGTGATAAGGGAAAATGAGATGATGTGGGATATAATTAAGAATAGGGAGATGTGTGTACAACACTAGAAAGCATGCGGTTAATAAGAAAACAAGCGATGAGAACAGCACCACCGCAAAATTGTTTGGGAACATGCATATTAAACATCAATGTGCAAGCAACATCCAACAAATGATGGTATTTACGCTCTGCAACACCATTTTGAGGAAATGTATGAGAACAACTAGTCTGATGAATAATACCACAAGCATCACAAAAGGTAGTCACAATAGACTACACATGTTCTAAGACATTATCAGACCAAAATATTTTAATACTTTTCCCAAATCGAGTAAAGATTTCATTGTAAAACTTAGAGATCATAGAAGGCAAATCAAATAGTTGTTTCATTAAAAACAAATAAGTCATCCAAGAGTAATCATCCACAAAATAACAAAATTAAAAAACCATTAACAGTGGGTGTTCTAAAAGGACCCCAGATATCTTTATGGACAAGAGCAAAAGACTTAAATACACGACTAACACTCCTACTAGGAAAAGAACTACAGTGATGCTTCCTAAATTGACAAGCTTCACACACAATCTGAGAAACATGATTCAAACCAGGAACAGCTAACTTGAGCTTGGCCAAAGAGGGATGACCCAAGCCGAAATGCCACTGAATAAGAGATACAGTAGCACTCAACACAGTAGATGGAGGATGAAGAGGTATCACAATGTCCAAAAAGTATAAGTCATCCTTCTCATGCCCCGAACCAATCATCATCTTGGTCTGGAGGTCTTGCAAAACACATGAAGTGGGAAAAAAGGTTACAGAACAGTGGAGAGCTTGAGTTAATTGGCTAACAGAAAGCAAATTAAATGGAAACTTAGGAACATAGAGACTAGAGGGTAAGGAAATGGATGGAGTGAGGTGAAGAGGACCTTAACCACTAACAGTTCGAGAAGATCCATCAGCAAGTATAATAGTATGATCAACAGACCTCAGATTATCAAAAAGAGAGGAATTGCCAGAGATATGGGAACTAGCAGCAGAGTCTAGGAGCCAAGGCTAAGGCCTCGTTTGGGAACAGGCTAATTTAGTAACTTTTTGGCTATTTGGCTAAAAAAGTAGGTAAAAAAACTTGTATGTTTGGGATGACTTTTTGGCTAATTACGAAAAGATGTGCAAAAAGTAGAGAGAAAAGAGAATCTTTGACTTTTTGGTATGGGTTGTTGGCTTTTTGGCTAATTTAGTAACTTTTTGGCTAATTGGCTAAAATAGCCTCTTGCCAAACGAGGCCTAAGTAGAGTTAGCCACACATGCAAAATTACCTGAACTAGCTAGAGTAGCAGTAGAGGATGAAGATATACTAGGCCGAAGAAACTGGACAAGAGCGGTAAGCTCACTAATTTGAGTAGTAAGTGTCTCATGAGAATCAACCGGAGAAGCAATAGAACCAATGAAAAATAAGGAGGACTGTGAGGATGGAGCATCCATAACATGATGCGCATGGTCAGGTTTGCCATACTTCTGCTAGCACCAAGGTTCAGTATGACCTTAGGAACCACAATGAGTACACTTGCGATCACCACGTGTGCGAGAGCTAGGGCCACTACTACCCTCTCCATGGGAACCACCACCACAAGATGCACCACCACGAGAACCACCTCCACGAGAACCTCGTGATCTGTAAGAAGAGCCCCAAATGCCAGATGGGCCATGAAAACCCCCTCAAGTAGGCCCACGATCTCCACTACTAGAGACCATTGCAGAAGATGAAAAAGGAGAGGACCCAGTGGTAGGTTGTGCCTGACCTAAGGAAGAACATAACAGCCGAGAATAGGCATTAGTAGCAGAAGAGAGATCACTGGCAAGAATCTGATCCTTGAACCCCCGCAATTCAAGGTCTAAACTACAGAGTAAAGAAGCCATCATAAACTCCTCCCAATGTTGCTTTTGTTTGTTCACATCAGTAGTGAAGGGTTGATGCTACAATAACCGATCCCACAAGGTCTTGAGGCTACTATAATATTCGGGAAGGGACTGGCCAGATTGGCGCATAGCAAAAATCTGCTCATATAACTCATAGACCCGAGAAACATTACTCTGATTTGAAAAAGATTCAGCAAGGGAGTCCCAAATTTCCTTCGAGGTATCACAAAATTCCACAGTAGTAGCAACTTGTGGTTCCAGACTATGCCAAATCCAACCCATAACACAGGAGTCCTCACTACACCAATCATCATAAGCTTTATCATCAATAGCAGGTGGGAATTCACTAAGGAAGCGCGACTTCTTCTTTCCACGTAAGAAAATTTTGACAGCATGGACCCAAGCCAAATAGTTGGCACCATTCAATTTTTTTTTGGTGATAGATTTAGGCATGTCATCATCTTTACCCATAGCCATAGCGTTAGCCTCAATCTCGGCCATGACGATCAATCACACAAAATTGTCAACAAACAAGCACGAATGTAGCAAATTACTTGAAGATATTCACTACCCACAACAACCAGCGCTCACAACAACCAATATAGGCAATAGATTCAGACCCAAATTGAACCAAAATAACAAAAACAAATCAACAAGCCAAATATCCAACAAATTCAAATTGAAATTGAACCAAAACAAGAAACCACCAACATTAATCAACAACTTAAGACTAAATATCCAGTGCCATACAATTTTCAGCCATATATGGTCAATCCCAATAGATAGAAGTAAGAAAACAGCCCTGTTGTACTGAAACAAACCAGAGAGAAACAAAACGACCCAAAAACTCAACCTAATCACCAATAAACCACAAATTAACAGCAAAGGGCACTAGAATATGCCCAGTCAGCTCCTATAGAAGGGATTGTACTAAGAAGAACCAGCAAAAACAGTCCCCAAATCCATAGTAAAAAAAAAAATTGTACCAAAAGTCACGAAAAACATTCGAAAATAGAAAACTCACGTTAGGGATCAAAAAATTCCACAAAAATCACCATAATTCTCCGGGGACCATTTCGAGCTTAGGGGTGAAGATCCCATCCGTACAGTGCTTACGTCATGCTGACATCATCGTACAGATAATGATGTCAGCACGCCTCGATCACCTCAGCTCAACCTCCAGAATCTATAGAACACTTACTCACGAAGAATGGATTGCTCTGATACCAAGTTAGAAGGTAGAATGAAGAGATTTAGGGTTAGGGTTAGGGTTTAGAAGAAGGAAGAAGAAGATAAGAGAAGAGAAAAAAGTTTTATATATTTGTGTGTATTGTTTTCTCAACTCTACATCCACAATATATATACAAACCCTAATAATGCAATATGACCATCGTACCCTCAACTTATGTAGATATTAACAGAAGAACAATAGAATAAAAATAACTATACTAACAATTACAAATAAACAACACAAACCACAAAATACAGTTTAATTATATTTTCCATACATGTTTTCTGATGCCCTGGTTGACAATCCAAACTTGTTTCTCATTTGCTTTCTTGTCTGAGAGATATCTATTATAGTCATCCCATGCCTCTTTAGTTGCTGATACTGAAAATATTAAAACAAGTGGACCCCATGTACTTGCAGGATTTACTGGAGTAATCAATGGCCATAGTTGAAGGCATGCAATCAACAAGAAGTACTGATTCATGAACCGGCTGGAAACAAGAGAGAAAAAATTATTAGGAGTAATAAAGGAAAGGGTAAAAAACAAGAAAAAGGAATAATCTAAAAGTCGTACTAAACAAATATGTGAAAGGATAAAAAAAAAAAAAAAAAAAAAATTTATCAAATAATATTTATGCTCGAAAGTCAAAACACAAGGCCAGTAAGTTTTTTACAGGACTAAGGATCAAACTTTGACACAATAAGTAGGAGACAAAGAAGTTTGCACGCAATTACAAGAATCAGCATCATTGGGCTAGTCTTTTCATGAGAAATTTTAAATCAAACAATGTCCAATACAAATCTCACAAAGAGTAATAGGATCATTCTCCGCTGCATGCATTGGTACTTAAAGCCAAACAAGGAGTAAACAAACTTCATGAATGTTTGCAGCTTTGTAATATAATATTTGCCATAAACAAAAATGCTAGGTAAACTGAACATCTAATTCAACCACAATGGATGAGCTATGACTTATATCGCATTTGAGACAAGATCTAGGATAGATTGTGTTGGCAATTTCTGTAGGACAAAACTTGGGTCTTGAGAATGTGTTGTAAAAGGGATTGGCAAACTAGATTGAGTGTTGAGAGTGGTCAAGTTGAAGAATCACATCAAGCGGTTGCAGATATCGCTATGTTAGCCTAACATATACATTTTTACTTCATGTAGAACTTTTTTTAAGACACCTGTGATTTCAAATTGCACCAATTTTAATATTTTTACATTAGATTAGTATTACATTGGTCTTAGGATGTTTTTCTAGCAAATTTGATGAGTTTGCACATTTTTAGAGTTCTAGGCCTTGATAAAGCAATCAAGCACTCTAGAGTGGCGATCGAGCACCTCTAAGAGCAATTGAGCACAACAGTGAGCGATCTAGTGTTTAGGTAAGTGATCAAGCACCGTTGTCGAGCCAAAACATTGATTTTTGTCTCAAAACATTCCCGAAGTGTAGTGCTCGCTTGGGGATTGAGCATCTCACTTTGGAATTGCTTAGGGATCAAGCGCACCAATGGGAATAAGCCTAATTTGGCATGTTTTAGGATTATATGCTCCATCTCATATAAAAAGGACCCTAATATTTTTCTAGGGGTGTAGCCACTTATTTTGATCAGCCCTAAGAGTACTTGAGAAAGATTTTTAGCAGTCTTGAACCTTTGCATCTTTAGGAAAACTTCTTGAGTTTTAAATAAAACATTCACTCTTTGAATTGTGTTGCATTGCAGCATCCAGACGTCCCTTGACCAACGTTTTAAAAAGCGCTCCTAGGCGCTAAGCAAGGCAAGGCGCAGGGTTGGCACTCGAAGTAGACGAAGCGAGGCGCATTGCGAGAAGCACGCGTAAGACGTTGAGGCGCGTGCCTTTCGCCTAGGCTCAAAGCGCACGCTTCGTGCGCTTCGGCTAGGGCTAATCTGTTTTATGTTTGTGTCCTAGCCACATAGAATTAAAACTCTTATACAATACAAATCTGCTGGTGAGCTTCTTCGAATCGATTGATCTGAGCTTCGACATCGACTGATCTGAGCTTCTTCAGGTTCATCTCTGCTTCTTCTCTTCTCTCTCTGATTCTTCTCTCCTGTTTTGTCTTCTCTTCTCCTCTCCTCCCTTCTCTTCTCTTCTCTTCTTTCGTCATCTTCTGTCTCGCTCACAATCGCTCTCTCTCTCGCTCACAATCGCTCTCTCTCTCGCTCACAATCGCTCTCTCTCTCGCCTTCTCTCTCGCAATTGCGATCTCTCTCTCTCTCTCGCTTCTGTCTCTCTCTTTATCTTCTTGATTCATATATATATAATACATTATATAATACCTATTATATAATATATAATATACTTATAGATAATATATAAAATATAATTGAATCATATATATATATTATATAATAGTTATATATTATATAATAGTTATTATATAACATAATATACTTGTAAGATAATATATACTTATACATATTAATAAATAAATAAAAACACATGTATGTAAAATAAAATAAAAAAATTAATTAAAACACATTATTTAAAAATATAATAAATAAATAAAATAATATATATATATATATTAAAAAAATTAATTGTTTTTTTCCTTCTTCTCTTCTCTTCTCTTCTCTTCTTATTAAGAAAATTAATAATATACATATTAAATATTTGCTTATGTTGAAAATTGTGCAATAATAATATTTTGCTTAACTTTTATAACTTGCGCCTCGTTTTGGTGAGGCGCCTTGCCTCGCGCCTCGGCGCTTAGGCTTCAGGTGACCTTGGCGCCTCGATGTGCCTAGAGCTTTTTAAAATACTGCCCTTGATCATTTAGGTAAACAAAGTCGTCGAAGCACAGAAATCAAGGTGAGAAACTTCATGGTGATCTAACAAATCAAAAGAGGTTGACCAGGTCAGGTCGAGCTCGTGGAGCGTGGAGATGATTTCAAAGTTAAGTGAACTAGGGTATGTTTGTAATTCCTTCCATCTTTGATTTGTTTAGTAGATTGTTTGGGTGTAGGGATAGTGGTTTTCATCATGCGAAAGAGTTTTCCCATAGGGTTTCCAAGTTAAGTCACTTTGTTCACTTTACTGGTTTATTATTCAATGATTTTTCCTATAACCCTTGATCTAATTGTTAATTGTCTAGTAAATCTAAAATTCAAATTCATTTTTAGTGATTCACCCCTTTCTAGGCACAATTTCCACTGGCTCCAATATGTCAACATTAAATGGACAAAAACCCTAAACGCATCAACATAATCAAGTGAAACACATATATAGCATAGAAAACTAAAGAGATTCATATACATAAGAATGGATAAATTCATGTTTACATATGTATTCATACACACTATCTTGGAGAACTCCTAAAGCAAGCTCAAAGTTTTCTTCCGTTACCATCCCCAAACTAAGAAAAAGAACAAATCATGTCTACCAATTTGCAATTGATGCACCCACGAGAGTAAATTAAATCTCTCTTTTTTTTTCTTTTTTTTTCTTTTTTGTCAACAAAGAAATTTTATTAATACTTAAATAAGAAAAGAAGCAAGAGAAAGTGGAGGACAAGAGGTCCACAAAAATTTAAAAAGCAAGCAAATAAAGGATTTCATATCAAACCAAGCCCTCCACAATCCCTACTAATTAAAAAGAATCCTTAAAAGAAGAAGAAATTGAAGCCCAAAAGGAAGATATATGACAAATCCTATCACATCTCATTTAGATCCTCAAATTGATTTTCAAAAATCTGTGCATTACTTTCCAACCAAAGCTCTCAAAATATAGCAAAATTGACACAATCCGAATCACTCGAGCTTTGTTAACGGTGCCAAATCCCCTATAGTCAATCAAAAACATCTATATAACAAGGAGGGCTGTTTTTTAATCCTTATGGGACTATTGTCCTAAGTGGCATGTTTACATCAAGGGCTAAGATCAATGGGCAATGTTATATTTTCTTCTATTTTTCTTTTCTTTCTTTTTGTCTCTCTTCTATCTGCTTACGCTTCTCTCTCAGCCTCCATTTCTCTCACCATACGAAAATAGCCACCATCACTCTCTCTCATTTGAATTTCAAATATCAAACACACCTTCCCTCAATCTTACTCTCTGCTTCTCTCACATGCTTCCTCCTTCACTTCCTCTTTGGTGCCATCTTCTTCTTCAATGAAAATCAAATTTTAATTTTAAGGTTCAGGAATCAGACTTTTACTATATCTGATATTTTCTTTCATCTCTTTAGGTGAGTTTCCTTTCGATTCAGCCCGCTCTACATCTGCCCAAAGATTTCTCTCTCAAACGATACTAACAATTTCTTACAAATTTGTAAAATCCCTTTCGGTTTGTATAATGGTGAAGATGGGTTAAAGGTATAAAAAAACAATGTCTAGGTATGGATTTCTTCTAATTTAGTTTCTGATATTTATTTTTTTCTCGTTGCAAGTCAACAATTTTTGGATTTTTGATATAACATACGTATAAATTTCTCTCACACAATTTTTTTTTTTAGCTCATCAGTTTGTTTACTCATAAATTTTTGAACAAAACTATTTTATGTATTTCATAAATTTTGTAGTATCATTGTTTTTATATTTTTTAATATTTTTTATGTGGTTCATGAAATCTGTTTGTATTTTGTGGTTTATGAAATTTGTTTTTTTTTTTTTTTTTTTTTTTTTTTCCATCATTTGAATACTGATATCACTATTTCTATATTTTATGGTTCATGAAAACCAGGTATGGTTTTTGTTAGAATACTTATATTTGTTCTCTTGTTAATATTTGCGTAAGTTGAGGGTACAATGGTCATATTACAATGTTAGGGTTTGTATATATATTTTGTTGATGTAAAGTTGAGGGATAATGATTATGCAACATATATAAAATTTCTCTCTTCTTCTTCTTCTTCCTTCTAAATCCCAACCCTAAATTCCTTCATTTTACATTCTAACTTGGTATCATAGCAATTTCTATTCTTCATCAGAAAGGTTTCTACTGACTCTAGAGATCGATCTAAGGTGACCGAGGATGTCAGCATGACGTAAGCACTGTACGAACTCGTCCTTCACCCCTAGACTCGAAATTGCCTCCTAAGATTTATGATGATTTTTGTGGAATTTTTTGATTATCCTTGATGTGAGTTTTCGATTTTTGAAAGTGTTTTATGTTTTTTGGGACTGTTTTTCAAATCTGCTCTCGGGCTATTGTACTTTTGTTGGTGGTAATCTTGTTACTTGGCGTAGCAAGAAACAGACTGTTGTTACTCGTTCTAGTACCGAGACTAAGTATCGTGGCATGGCTCATACTGCTTCTGAGATGCTCTAGGTTCAGTATCTTCTCCGAGATTTTGGCTTTTCTATTCCCACTCCTATGAGCATGCCTTGTGACAATCAGGCTACTATCTTCATTGCCTATAATCCCGTGTTTCATGAACGCACCAAACATATAGAAGTTAATTGCCATTTTATTCATGATCTCTTACTCTGCAAGCAACTTGTGACTCCTTCTGTTCGTTCTACAGATCAATTGGGTGATATTCTAACCAAGCCTTTGGCTCAGCCTTCGTTTCATCGTTTATCTGTCAAGCTGGGCATGTTTGATCTCTATGCTCTAGCTTGAGGGGGAGTGTTAGAATACTTGGGATGACCTAAATAAGTGCACTTTTTGTCTTTTTACGAAAAGATGTGCAGAAAAGTAGAGAGGTGATGTGATGGAAAAAAGATAAAAAAATAAAAAGTGTGGACTTATTTTGGATAGCCAAACTTGGCCTTATTTTTGTTCTCTTGTTACTCTTTACTTTGAGGGTACGATGGTCATATTGCTATGTTAGGATTTGTATATATATTTTGTTGATGTAAAGTTGAGAGATAATGATTATTCAACAAGTATAAAATTTCTTCAACATATATTTTGCTGATGTAAAATTTCTTACTTCCTCCTAAATACCAACCCTAAATTCCTTCATTTTACATTCTAACTGTTTTCTTCTAAATTAGTTTTTGAAATTTGATTTCTTCTTGCTACAGGTAAACATGTTTTGGGTCTTTTTTTTTTTTTTTTTTTTTTGATTTTGATATAATCATTGTTTTTATATTTTTATGGTTCATGAAATCTGTTTTTATATTATTTTTTTTTTATCATTTGAATACTCATGAAATCTGTTTGTATCTTTTTATTTTTATGAATCCATTATTCCCCTCAACATTGTATCCGATAGATCATATAATCACCGTGTGTATCCCATATAATCACTATTTCTATATTTTCTTCAAGAGAGCTGGATAAACTTAGGAATTGTTATTTTAGATTCAAATTGAAATTTATTAATACGGTTGATTTGATTAACATTGGAAGCAAAGATTTATTATTGTTGTGATGTGGGTTGGGTGCAAATTATATTATTGTGTTGGGTTTGAATTTTTAATTGTAGATTTTATTGTGTTCAAAGCTTGGTTTTTATAATTGGGGAAAGTATTGGTAAAATAGGACTTTGATTGTTGGGTTAAAGAGGGTTGGATAAACATAGGATTTGTTATTGACTGTTCTCTCTTCTCAAATTGAGCTTCTATTTTCGGGTAAATGACTGTTCTCTTTTCCCAACAACATTCTTTTAATTGACTTTTTGTCGCCCAAACCACAGTAAAGTTGTAACAAAAGGCCATTTTGACCAATGGTGTTGATGGAGAACCTGAAATAAGTTTTTTTTGTTGTCAAGTGTAGATTGTTTTAATTGGAGCCTTTTACATCATCAAGAAGTACAAGGTATTGGAAGATGTAATATTTATTGGCTTTTAGAAAGAAATGAAGGACTTTTGATTTTTTATTAAATACTTTGGTAGCATCAGTAGTTCTTAAGAACGTTTTTGGACAATTTGGGACAAAATTTGTGTTTTTTTGTTGAATCTAACAAATCAGTGGAGGTGCTGCCGTAATTATGTGATAAATTGAAATTATTAGTTCTTCTAGAAAAAGGCTACTTTGTTGTTAGGAGTGACATAGGCATGGATAATTCAGTATATGAAGAGTAACGGTGGAATGTTAGTAGCAAAATAGAGTTGTTTATTCAGTGAACTATTCTTGCTATGGTTATGTCAATTAGTCTGTGTTAGTGTTTGTGCATGGCATGTGTTTGACATGGTACCCATCTGTAACTTTCTTTTTAGTTTAAATTTTTCTTTTTATATTCTTTTTGTTTGTTGTTGGTTTTTATATCTTTGCCAACATCACCTCTTTTACCAAACTTCAGATTACCTCTGTCACGGTCGGTTCACCATTAAACCTTTTCCAAACATATTTAGTTTCTCAAATTTGTTTGAACAATTTGTATTGAAATTTCAATCTTATGAGCATCTTTTTAACTGTGTTCTTATTTAATTTATTTTCTCTTCCTAAAAGTTGTTTGGCTTTCAAATTTTATTTCATATAGCTTAAGTTACTTCGAAAATAGATATACATACTATGATCCATTCTAAGTGGGACTGGAATGCCATGGAAAAGACATACACATCAAGTTTATGATATTTGATTTCTCCTTACTGTAGGTCAACAATTTTGGGATTTTTGAACCATACAAAGGAACCATTTTTTCTCTCTTTACAATTTCATCTCTTTGTTTGGGGAGCTAGAAGTTGAGATATTGAGTTCCTTTTTAGTGGAATTTTGTATCTTGATTATGGGTGATTGTTTAACATTCAGTCATTAACTTCTAGTGAGTTTTATTCTTGAGGTTTTTTTCATTTTCTTTGTTTGATGTTGGTGCTTGGCTGGTGTGTTTTGGGTCAAGAAAAAATTTGGAGCTCAGGCTTATGCTACCTTGACATCATACAAATTACTTTTGTGATTATTAGTTTGGTAACTATGGGAAAGTTAGGACTTAACTCCAAAGTGGGAATCACATTTAACATTTCTATGCTATTGGAAAATAATTAGTGGTTGTGATAGGCGGTAATTAATTTTGTTTATTGCTTGACACGCAGGATTGCTAGGAATAGATTAAGGGGGTTTCTGCATGTTTAAATAATAATTCAGACTTATCAAAAATGTCCATGAAGTTCCTTGAGTTAACTAAAATAGAAATTATTATTTGTATTGACAGCTATGAAAGGTTAACTAGCATAGAAATTCTTCAGTTAATATTCAGACTTTTGTCTGAGCTGCTATGAAAGGTTCATTGATGGTTAATAGTTGATTTTGCGTTGCCAGTTGGCTAATTATACGAATTCTTATTTGTTGTTTGTGCCTGTTGTAGTTGAAGCCTCTTGCTCTAGATCAACATCTTAGCAGCTGGAGAAAAGTTCTTCCATTGTTTTAAATGCTACAAATAGTGATTGCACGATTCACATGAGAGCTTTACTACCACGAGGCTACGACCATTTATTGTGGGCATCTTCAATATCTTGAAAACTTGGGATTCTGGATGTTAAGGCATTACACCTATGCTTTAAGAACCTGCATGTATTATGAGTCACTCTGTTATGCAATTTTGAGTTACTCTATTTCTTGCCCCCAATGATTTGCTGGCTAGGACAATATTGTAGATTTTTCATCATGAACTTCAGTCCTTTTCGAATGCTTTGGAATGAATTCTTTATATTATCTGGAACCTGTGTACACCCAGAATTGGGGATAGTTGTGTTGAAAGTGTTTAATTACTTTGCAATCCACTTATTAGTAAGTATTGTTCAAGGTAATTTCTTCACTGAAAAAGAATATTTTGAAGTTTGACTAATTCTTGTAGGATTTTGTGTAAATTTTCTTTTTCATTTGCTCAAGTCATATGTGGCTGAGGTTGCCATGTAGCATGGTTTTATGTTGACTGCATAAGCCACATAATTAAGCTAATTTTGAGTTCAAACAAAGTAATTTGAAGAACCTTTGGATGTAAAAGTTCTGCTGCATTAATGTGGCCCAAAACTTCCAAACTCAAAAGAAGAGGAAAAAATATCGGAAACATTTTTGCATTGAAAACTAAGGTATGCAGCACATTGATTAATGGTGTGCATCCCCAACTTGGCAGTCGCTTCATTTTAGCTTAAATTGTTTTTTTTTTTTTTCTTTACTCCTGTTACATTGTTATTGATGGTTTTATTAAAAATATATTCTTATTCTTGAGTTTGCTAATTATTATAATGCTTATAATCCTGTCTCTGTCAGCCAGTTATAATTTTGTAACTCGTTATAGTTTTTTTTTTTCATAATCTCAAACTGAGTTTGCTAATTATTATTTTTCTCTAATAATTTTATTTTTTATTTCTTATTTCTTATACGTGTTTAAGTGTGTTAATTTGGACGTGGGGTTTTTTTATATTCGATTTTTCTGTAGCATATAGAGTTTAACCCTACTGGAAATCATCATTTCCTTACAAGGGTGAATGATAATTCTATTTACAATATATTTTTCATTATTTTTTTTGATAACTGGGTGTTTGAGCCAACTTGTACGCACCTCGACTGGTCCCAGGACCCTAAAGCTAATGACCGGGCAAACCTCTAGTGGTCCCTTGGGTGACTCAAACTCGAGACCTTGGATCTTATACTCGAGTTTTTACCGCTCAGCTAACCCCAAGCGATTACATTTTTCATTATTTTTTTTTAGTTAACCAAACATAGGAATGGACATTCTGATAGAATGATCATCCCATTCCACTTCATTTCAACAAACCAAACGCTACTTAAGTGCATTAATTTTAATTTGGATGTGAGTAATTTTTTTTTTTTTTTTTTTTTTGCTTGGAGAGTGCCATAGGCACGGGTCATCCACTAGTCTGTGTATACAAGAGGAAGGAGTCACCCACTCCACATTCACCATATGAAACAACTTGTGCCACAATGATAAAATCGCAGGACAATGCAAAAAAGCACTTTCAATATTACGGAGACAAATGCATTCCAAATCACTTTACAAGAAGCAAAAAGAGGAATGTGAGGATTATCAATTAATTCATGAAATAAAGTGGAACAGCAAGCTTATCAATTAACCAGTGAAAAAACCACACCCTTCTATTTTATCCAAAGCATCCCATCTCAAAGAAACATTATGAACAAGAGCTAGCAATGACGCCAAATCACCAGCCTCTTTATTATTAGATTTCTGGAAAAAAATGGAATTTCCAAGCAATGGGAGCCTCGTGGGAACAAGCAATAGAAACATTAGGAGAATGAGTTAAACAATAAAAACATGGAAATAAATTACCAAAAGAAACACCCCTTATCAAAAAAGTAATTTAAATCCTTTTACGTCAATAAACTGGAACAGTGTAACATATTTTTCCACCCTATACTGAAGGCTTTTGGCTTTCTACATATGGAAATATGGATTTGGTTCCTCTTAAATGAGATATGTTCCATATATTCTGGGAACCAGTAACATCTAACCCAGTAGAGAAAACAGAGGATGGGAACCAGCCTGCCGGACTCCCTTACAATAGATTGTTAAAAAACATGGGCCAACTGATAAATTTGAAATAAAGTTGTCAAATCATGAATATCAAGTTCAGTTTGCTTAAAGGACTTCAAACTGGCAAAGTTCATAAAAATTGTACTGGTTCTCATTTCTCAACGGTCTACACTGCAGTTTTGAGAAATATACATTTGAAATTCTGGATTAACTCATTCAAGAATTACCTGAACTGCTCCCATAAATTTTTTGGAAGGAAGTTCAATAAGGTATATTTTCTGTTTGAAATCCGGTTGTCACAGTAAAGATCTTGTGATAGCTCATCATCATTGATGTAAACGTAACGCTTCATGTCTCACACAAAAGAGTATGATATTGTCTGACAGAACAGTTACATATCCAAGACCCTTGACACAAATAGATGCGTCACAACTTCCATATACGTTACAAAGGTGTGGCCAGGGCACATACTGTCTTTTCTGGCTTGTGCTTCTTGGCAGCTATCTGGCATGGTGGAGTGCTATACCCTAGATGGCGAGAGTCCAATGGCCGAAAGCATAACTAGTGTTCATTCCAAGTTTAATTTTGTGATCGAAAGCATTCAGAATCCCTGCAATGATAAAAAGTTCAGTGAGTTTCATATCTGCACTGTAAGAAAATTTTTAAAAATGATATTTTGGCATACATCACATATTTCAGCCATAACACACATGGTAATGCACTAACAAGATAAAGACCCAAAAGAAAGGAGCTTCTTATTACAAGGATAATGCCAATGGCCTTTCTTTTTTTTTTCATGATGATGATGGCAAATACATCCAACAAAGATAACTACAAAGTACTTGGAATGGAGCTACGTAGGGAGACTCTCTCCTACACCAGTGTCCAGCAGAATTATCACATTGTTCCAATGCTCCAAAAGAACAATACATAGCATCCCTAGAAACATACATAACAGCAATAGAGGCTTTAAGGACAGGTTAATTTGAACCTCATGTTGGTATTAGTACAACAGTATTGGTAGAGTTAAACCCATCCCTAGTCCTTGCGTGAGACAACTGAGTATGTTTTGCAACACTCTCAATTTGTAGGGATAGCTTCTGTTCTGTTTTGGGAGAGGGAGACAGACCCTCTGCGTCGGCAGACTCCATGTGAGAATGGTAATGTGATTTATTTAATTGTCTAATTGGTTGTGAGTAGTCTAATTTAATTTGGTGTTCAGGTCTCCAAATCTGCATGGTGATACAAAACGCGAGAGACTGCGGGTAGATATTTGAATCAAGGGCCACTTTGGTTTTTACCATCTTGCCAACTACCACCACTCTCTCTTTGTCCTGTTGTATACTCTCAAGGTGGAGAGTAAGTTACACCTCCCACCCTTTCTTTTTTCTGATATACGTGTCGAGGGAGAGAGAGTCATTTCTCGGACTCCTCTTTTCTCCGATTCCTCTTTTCTCTGATTTCTTCTTCCATCTCCTGAGTTAGGGTTTGAGAGTGGGATCTTGAGGAAGTCTTGCAGCTTGGTTAGAGATGCATTGGGAGGCTTGGAGTGAGACCATTGAAGCTTGGGAGCTTGGACCTCGTCATCATCATCTTCTCTTCCATCCACATTCCTGTTCACAGAGTAAAGCTCTGAGGTAGGGGTTTCATCTCTTTCCTATATGTATTATATATGTGATGTGGTTTCTACCTTTGCATAGAACTCTTGTATTTATACTAGATGACAATTGAATGAAAAACCAAAATAGATCGCGACCAGAAACCACATTTTTTACCAAGGTAATTGACCAGCCTAAAGGTCCGGATGTGGGAAAATGGTCTTGTTTAGCCTTAACAGAGGGAGTTGAGACCACAGACAACCAAACCAGGCGACAAGCCAGTAAGCTGGCGGTCGACTGGCCTATGTCAGGCAGAACCGTGTGCTGGGACTTGTTTTGGGACTTTGGGGGTTGCTTTTGGACCCCTTTTTTCTCTGTTTAGAAGGATAATTGCTATGTTTTGTAATTCCATAATTGTTTAAGCATTGCATCAATTGTAAGGAATGTAATGGAGTGGGAAAAGGGTTAGTGACTGATGCTTCGGGTCAATGAAATATTGTTAATTTAATTATGAATTGTGATGTCAAGAAATTTGTTCAACTAACAAAGAGTTAAATGGGTGGACTGTTGAGTCAGAGCCACGGAATATTGTGTAAGCTTGATTAGGGTGATATGGACGTCATCCTCTGGTTAGAGTCCAGGAAGGTATTGCACACTGTCGAGGGCAAGTAACCGCCGTGTTTCATGATAACGAATGGAGAAGCGATGTGAGTTATTTGTACATTCACACCTTCCGATTTGTACGGCTGGGGCCCACCTGTCACTATTCATCTCTTACACACTCTTTTTATACAATTTTTTAATACACATTTTTTTCATAAAAATCTAAAAAGTTAACCCAAACCTCCATATTTTTTTCTCAACTTTTTTAGTCCAAAAAGACAAAAAGTGCACTTTTTTAGGACACCCCAAACCAGCCCTTATTTTAATTCATGAGAATAACAGGGGTGGGTTTTCTACTAAATTAATCACACCTAGGTTAATTAGATTCTGCAGACTTAACCTTTTAAAAAATTGGGGCTTGACAGAGGGAAGAGAGCAACAAAGCAATATTGATCAGCCTCTTAACTATAGATGAAACAACATGTCAAGCTGGATGTGATGCATAATTGTATAAATGAAATCATCAATTGTAAGAAAGAAATATGGAACCCGAAGTCTTGGTATGCGTTCACTTTGATTGAAAACAAAAAATTTCCAACAGTAGTACATATTCCGTTCTTCTCCTGAAACAGAACATAGCCCTTTAAACCAATCAAAAATAATTACTAACTAGGTACATAAATAATAAGCCCCACGGAAAACATGTTTGTCTTAAGAAAACCAATTCCTCTAGTAAGTTTCAATTTGCTTTGATTTACATCCAACAAAGAAAAAATGAAATATAAAGACTTCGGCACTGTTTGGCAAAACTTTAGAAAGTCCTTCCAAACTATTGAAGTCCTATTGAATTTCTTTGTTCCATTTGGTGAAGATAATCAAAAGTCATTCCATCATAAGTCACAGCCATAGAAAGTCAATTTCGGAAAAGCCACCCATGTTGGCTTCCAATTCCACTTCTCGCGAAGTCAACCAGTCACTTGAGTGACATTCACTACATTTTTTTTATTTTTATTTTTCATTTTTTATTATGTGCCCATTGTTTCAAATGAATTGCCCATATATTCCCTACTTTATTATATTTACAAATCTTAACATATAAATGTGTAGATTATTTGTAACGCTACTCTACATGAGAATTTTTTACACGATAAGATAACACGACTCGAACCATACACAAAGTTAGCACGTTAAGATTAATCATTGTTCGACACGAACAAGGATACGACAACCTGATAACATGAATATTAAACGAGTGCCATGACATTTTTGAATCCCTTATGTAACTCCATCCAGCCAGTTAATAGAATTATGTCAAATAGGATTTTAAAGCTAATTATATATATATATATATTTAATTGAAAATGATAAATTTTTTATCTACTATTTTAGAATTAATATAGTAAAAAATATAAGTAAATTACACTAATCTTTCTTAAGGTTTGGAGAAAATACATCAAGTCCAATAAGTTTGATCATGCAAGACTTTCAAATAAGTATTCACCAAACAACCATCTTCTACCAAAGTCCTTCATAAAAGTCATATTTGAAAAGTCCATCTTCATAACGGACTTTCAACTACAAAAAGCTACGCCAATCAAGCCCTTCATATTCAAATTTTAAACTAAATGCTCGAAAATGGAGAAGCTCATTATGAGAAAGTTGCCCATGTCTCTAGTTCATGTAAAATCATGCTATATCAATCAAACCAAGCTTGAACCTCACTCAGGTTTTCTAAACCAGCACTTAGTATTGGGAACTAGATAAAGAAATCTCCAATTTTCTCAAAAACCGATGCAGTTTTAGCATTTTCCAGTTATTATTCCTTCTTGAAACTAAAGTCCTGCTTACACTCCACAAGCAATAAAGACATTTTCAAAATCCTAAAATAACAGTACCCAACTCAAAATTGAAATAGACTGAGCCGTTGTTTTACATGGTATATTTTGACACATTCAAGTAATCATGTATGTTACAAGGATCAAACAGAGTCGACAAGCTTCAATGGTAAGGTTCTCTCGGCTTCTCGGTTGGTAGAATTAGCCATTTTCGTGCATTTCAGAATTCAATTGATAGTTAACGTAAGGTTCATCAAAGCATTGGCATATCATATCAACCCTCAAATCAAACTATCAAAACCCATCAAATAAATAACCCATTTCATGAAAACAAATTGAATTTTAGTCCGTTTCCGGTTGAAATACCTTGAAGTTTTCAAAAAAAAAAACAAAAAAACAATCCATTTTAGATTTTCCTATACGAAGAAATTATGATAAATGTTCGGAGAAGTTGAGCGATTGATTGTGAATCGTACCTTTATCTGATTCTTCTTTGTCGTCGGTGTTCCTTAATCTCTCCGCTTTCCGCATGAAATGTTTGATAAAAAGACTGAACCGGGAGGGAATATGCTGCGCACCGTTTTATTCCGTGGAGTTGTTAAACTCCCCGGTTAAAGTGTCAATTTTTTTTTAGATGGGCCGTTAGTGTCTCTATTGAACCAGTCAATATTCGTATCCGACCCGTTCACAACCCGATTTATCAGTCGATCCGAGATTGTTTTTCCAAACTCGATCCTAGACAATTTGAGAGCTTCGTTAAGCGCACAATGAATTTTATTTTGATAATTTGAATTGTTTATTTTGTAAGTCTCTTTATATATATATTATTTATGAAAAAAATTAAGTCAATATGATAATTATAATTTTTTTCATTTCATTCTATTTGTTCTCAAAAAAAAATAGATAATCTATTTTTAAAATATATTTACCGTTCAATTTTTTGAAAGAAAACATGATAGATTAAAAATTTGTAATTATTGAATCGATCTAATTTTTTTATAAATTATATATACAAGAGTCATGTAAAATAAACGATTTAAATTATTAAAACAAAATATGTGATAAACTTCACGAGTCCTTAAATTTTCTTAAATTCGTATCTAAACTTGAGAACGACTCGAATTGAGCTTAAAGAGCCAAGGTCAAACTGAATTTGTCTAGGATGAATTCGGCATAGAACTAGAAAGAATTGAGGTCAAATTGAGTTTGTCTGCAATGAGTCCATCATACAATTAAAAAAATATATATATTTTTTAACTTTTTTTTTTATATATTTAGGCCTTGTTTGGCATGATCTAAAAAAGTTAAAAATTCAAAAAGTCACTATCCTATATAAGTCACATCATCTTATTTAAGCCACATTACTTCTCAAACACATCACTTCAAATCCAACCCATACCCAACTCATATTTCATAAAAAGTCAAAAGTGTACTTATTTAGATCATCCCAAACCACCCCTTAGTAACGTTTTTTAGGCTGATCTTGTGTAAACGATTTTAAAAAATATTTAAAAAAAAAATCAATAATTTTTTTTAAAAAAAAAAGTTAAAAAGTTTGATTTTTTTGGGGGGGTCCTTTTTAACTCTTTTTTTTTGTTTTTAATTCATAATTTTAACTTTTTCCATTCTTCTAATTGATAACCCAAAAGTATAATTTTTTTTGAATTTACTAAAGACGAGAAAAAAATTAATAGAAGAAACCAAACAATTCCAAAAACCCATATAATGTTTAACAAAATTTGGGTCTAGCTCAAGTCAACTAAACAATCTAACAATTTAAGTTCAAGATTGACTTCTAAAAAAACAAAGATAGAAAAATTCTATAATAAACATGTCTAATTGTAAGAGGGGTTAACTCGAGACATAGAATTAAGTGGGTCCAATTGGGGTCCAATAAGAAAATCTAGGAATTAAGTGGACCCACAAAAATCATCACCAAGTAGGCCCAATAAAATCCTATCAAAATGGGCCCCAAAAAAGAGTCAACTAACTAGGCTGAAGAGGTCCCAACAAGCTTATAGTTTCAAGAAAGCCCAACAAGTCCATCTAATGAGGCCTACAGCATACAAGCATTTGAGAGAATTAACCATTGTATTCAGATGAGGTAAAACCCTCGGAGGAGATCCATTTTCCGAAATAATTACTTTGTCTCAAAAGGGTATGGATCCATGAACATAGATATTATTGAGCTTAGACTCAAAATAATTCTAAGCAAACCTAGAGATTTGAAAATTTGGCTTCGAATGGATTCAAAAGCAATCTAAGTCACTCAAAAAATGAGCCTAAAACTATTTGCAGGCTCAAAGCTTTCCGAGATCGACACACCAGAACTATGAGTGTGGCAGAGTGTGAACAAAGGACCTAATTTTGAAGACTGTGAGCTTGAAGATAAATTTGCTCTTCAGTTAAATTAGGCAGGTCTAGGTGGCATAATCCGGGAGGTCCATGAGACTTGGCCTTATTTGTGGCAGGACATCCTCTTGAATTTCCCCTAAGGCGTCCCCTTGGACTTCCCCTAATCATTTGGGATGATTAGAAATCATTGGTTCAGTGTGGCTAAAGAGAAGGGTTCACCAGGAAGTTTGTCTCATCCTCGGGATTTTCCTTATTCTCAGACAAAGCAGTTAGGGAGAATATATTCCCCTTATGTGCAAGCACATAAGGCTCAACCTTGATTGGCTACCACCTCCTTAAAGAGATCGGTGGTGTACATTAGTTAGTACACTAATTGGTGCATATAGTATTATTCTAAAGAGATAGCTTTTGAGTTGCTTATAAATAGATACTCATCCATAGCTTTGAAAAGACAATTAGACTTCACTTAGAGTCATTCCATAGTTGATTAATTCTTGAATGAAAGTGGGGAGATCCATGAGAGCTATAGCAATCCTTTATTTAATTTCTATGCCTTTTTTTTTTCATCCAATCTTTTATCCTCTATCATCTTCATTCTCTTGAGTTCTTGTTGCTATTGTTGAAGCTTCCATATACGTTACAAAGGTGTGGCCAGGGCACATACAGTCTTTTCTGGCTTGTGCTTCTTGGCAGCTATCTGGCATGGTGGAGTGCTATACCCTAGATGGCGAGAGTCCAATGGCCGAAAGCATAACTAGTGTTCATTCCAAGTTTAATTTTGTGATCGAAAGCATTCAGAATCCCTGCAATGATAAAAAGTTCAGTGAGTTTCATATCTGCACTGTGAGAAAATTTTTAAAAATGATATTTTGGCATACATCACATATTTCAGCCATAACACACATGGTAATGCACTAACAAGATAAAGACCCAAAAGAAAGGAGCTTCTTATTACAAGGATAATGCCAATGGCCTTTCTTTTTTTTTTCATGATGATGATGGCAAATACATCCAACAAAGATAACTACAAAGTACTTGGAATGGAGCTACGTAGGGAGACTCTCTCCTACACCAGTGTCCAGCAGAATTATCACATTGTTCCAATGCTCCAAAAGAACAATACATAGCATCCCTAGAAACATACATAACAGCAATAGAGGCTTTAAGGACAGGTTAATTTGAACCTCATGTTGGTATTAGTACAACAGTATTGGTAGAGTTAAACCCATCCCTAGTCCTTGCGTGAGACAACTGAGTATGTTTTGCAACACTCTCAATTTGTAGGGATAGCTTCTGTTCTGTTTTGGGAGAGGGAGACAGACCCTCTGCGTCGGCAGACTCCATGTGAGAATGGTAATGTGATTTATTTAATTGTCTAATTGGTTGTGAGTAGTCTAATTTAATTTGGTGTTCAGGTCTCCAAATCTGCATGGTGATACAAAACGCGAGAGACTGCGGGTAGATATTTGAATCAAGGGCCACTTTGGTTTTTACCATCTTGCCAACTACCACCACTCTCTCTTTGTCCTGTTGTATACTCTCAAGGTGGAGAGTAAGTTACACCTCCCACCCTTTCTTTTTTCTGATATACGTGTCGAGGGAGAGAGAGTCATTTCTCGGACTCCTCTTTTCTCTGATTCCTCTTCTCTCTCATTTCTTCTTCCATCTCCTGAGTTAGGGTTTGAGAGTGGGATCTTGAGGAAGTCTTGCAGCTTGGTTAGAGATGCATTGGGAGGCTTGGAGTGAGACCATTGAAGCTTGGGAGCTTGGACCTCGTCATCATCATCTTCTCTTCCATCCACATTCCTGTTCACAGAGTAAAGCTCTGAGGTAGGGGTTTCATCTCTTTCCTATATGTATTATATATGTGATGTGGTTTCTACCTTTGCATAGAACTCTTGTATTTATACTAGATGACAATTGAATGAAAAACCAAAGTAGATCGTGACCAGAAACCACATTTTTTACCAAGGCAATTGACCAGCCTAAAGGTCCGGATGTGGGAAAATGGTCTTGTTTAGCCTTAACAGAGGGAGTTGAGACCACAGACAACCAAACCAGGCGACAAGCCAGTAAGCTGGCGGTCGACTGGCCTATGTCAGGCAGAACCGTGTGCTGGGACTTGTTTTGGGACTTTGGGGGTTGCTTTTGGACCCCTTTTTTCTCTGTTTAGAAGGATAATTGCTATGTTTTGTAATTCCATAATTGTTTAAGCATTGCATCAATTGTAAGGAATGTAATGGAGTGGGAAAAGGGTTAGTGACTGATGCTTCGGGTCAATGAAATATTGTTAATTTAATTATGAATTGTGATGTCAAGAAATTTGTTCAACTAACAAAGAGTTAAATGGGTGGACTGTTGAGTCAGAGCCACGGAATATTGTGTAAGCTTGATTAGGGTGATATGGACGTCATCCTCTGGTTAGAGTCCAGGAAGGTATTGCACACTGTCGAGGGCAAGTAACCGCCGTGTTTCATGATAACGAATGGAGAAGCGATGTGAGTTATTTGTAGAAATGGTATTGCCGTAAAGTCTATTTTGTTGGAAGTATATATGATGAAACAGTGAAATCCTTTGTATACGTGCTACGTTTTATTAATTTTAATATTGATGGTCCCATTGTACTTGAGTGGTGCAATATTGGAACTATCCAGTGTGTTAGAAATTATGTTGATGAGCATTTCCATTGTGTTGATTTATTATGAAGCTAGTGTCAGCTAATTGTGCGTAATAGTATAATTGTTGTAGTAATGATCAAAAGGGTTATATATTAAATACAAATTGTGGAATACACTTGGCATAGCATGCATACACGTAGGATAGAGATATTGGTGAGCATGTTGTTCTTTTGCTCACCCCCTAGAAGGGAGATCACACTGTCATTTGGAACTGAAGGTTGTAGACCTAGGTTTAGAAATTGAGGCTAAACCCTTCTCTTATTCAAATAATGTATTAATTTTGAATTTATAAATCAAATCTTTGTTTAATGAAATGAATATTCTTCCATCATTTAGGGCTGGTTTGGCTTATCCTAAATAAGCTAAAAAGTCAAAAAGTTAGTCCAAAATCCAAAAAGATATCACTATTCATCAAAAAAAAAATAATAATAATAATTATTTTCTGCCCAAAGTACACACCGAATTGACCAAAAGCCGGCTGCTATGTAGCGACAGTGCACATATATGAAATGATTGGGTGTGATTTGCACACACACCGCTGTTTGGCCTGCGGGGGGTATCACGGATCCCGTTTTGATAATCTGAACCGTTAAATGTGTAGAACTCGTCGAGTACTATATGTCTGAAAAAAATCACATTGATCGGATATCGATAACTATATGATCAGATCAGTTATGCACGACAAATGGATGGTATTATAATTAATGATTGAAAAATAAATATATCTGATCAGATAGCTATCGATATCCGATTAACGTGATTTTTTATAGGTACATGGTGTTCGACGAGTTATACACATTGAACGGTTCAGATTATTAAAATGGGACCCGTGATAACCCCCACAGACCAAACAAAACCGTGCAGTGCTTTGTACAAAAAATAGCCAATAATTTCCAACTCTCATTCACACCTTCCGATTTGTACGGCTGGGGCCCACCTGTCACTATTCATCTCTTACACACTCTTTTTATACAATTTTTTAATACACATTTTTTTCATAAAAATCTAAAAAGTTAACCCAAACCTCCATATTTTTTTCTCAACTTTTTTAGTCCAAAAAGACAAAAAGTGCACTTTTTTAGGACACCCCAAACCAGCCCTTATTTTTTAATTATGAATTGTGATGTCAAGAAATTTGTTCAACTAACAAAGAGTTAAATGGGTGGACTGTTGAGTCAGAGCCACGGAATATTGTGTAAGCTTGATTAGGGTGATATGGACGTCATCCTCTGGTTAGAGTCCAGGAAGGTATTGCACACTGTCGAGGGCAAGTAACCGCCGAGTTTCATGATAACGAATGGAGAAGCGATGTGAGTTATTTGTAGAAATGCTATTGCCGTAAAGTCTATTTTGTTGGAAGTATATATGATGAAACAGTGAAATCCTTTGTATATGTGCTACGTTTTATTAGATTCTGCAGACTTAACCTTTTAAAAAATTGGGACTTGACAGAGGGAAGAGAGCAACAAAGCAATATTGATCAGCCTCTTAACTATAGATGAAACAACATGTCAAGCTGGATGTGATGCATAATTGTATAAATGAAATCATCAATTGTAAGAAAGAAATATGGAACCCGAAGTCTTGGTATGCGTTCACTTTGATTGAAAACAAAAAATTTCCAACAGTAGTACATATTCCTTTCTTCTCCTGAAACAGAACATAGCACTTTAAACCAATGAAAAATAATTACTAACTAGGTACATAAATAATAAGCCCCATGGAAAACATGTTTATCTTAAGAAAACCAATTCCTCTAGTAAGTTTCAATTTGCTTTGATTTACATCCAACAAAGAAAAAATGAAATATAAAGACTTCAGCACTGTTTGGCAAAACTTTAGAAAGTCCTTCCAAACTATTGAAGTCCTTTTGAATTTCTTTGTTCCATTTGGTGAAGATAATCAAAAGTCATTCCATCATAAGTCACAGCCATAGAAAGTCAATTTCGGAAAAGCCACCCGTGTTGGCTTCCAATTCCACTTCTCGTGAAGTCAACCAGTCACTTGAGTGACATTCACTACATTTTTTATTTTTATTTTTTTCATTTTTTATCATGTGCCCATTGTTTCAAATGAATTGCCCATATATTCCCTACTTTATTATATTAACAAATCTTAACATATAAATGTGTAGATTATTTGTAACGCTACTCTACATGAGAATTTTTTACACGATAAGATAACACGACTCGAACCATACACAAAGTTAGCACGTTAAGATTAATCATTGTTCAACACGAACAAGGATACGACAACCTGATAACATGAATATTAAACGAGTGCCATGACATTTTTTAATCCCTTATGTAACTCCATCCAGCCAGTTAATAGAATTATGTCAAATAGGATTTTAAAGCTAATTATATATATATGTTTAATTGAAAATGATAAATTTTTTATCTACTATTTTAGAATTAATATAGTAAAAAATATAAGTAAATTACACTAATCTTTCTTAAGGTTTGGATCAAATACATCAAGTCCAATAAGTTTGATCTTGCAAGACTTTCAAATAAGTATTCACCAAACAACCATCTTCTACCAAAGTCCTTCATAAAAGTCATATTTGAAAAGTCCATCTTCATAACGGACTTTCAACTACAAAAAGCTACGTCAATCAAGCCCTTCACATTCAAATTTTAAACTAAATGCTCGAAAATGGAGAAGCTCATTATGAGAAAGTTGCCCATGTCTCTAGTTCATGTAAAATCATGCTATATCAATCAAACTAAGCTTGAACCTCACTCGGGTTTTCTAAACCAGCACTTAGTATTGGGAACTAGGTAAAGAAATCTCCAATTTTCTCAAAAACCGATGTAGTTTTAGCATTTTCCAGTTATTATTCCTTCTTGAAACTAAAGTCCTGCTTACACTCCACAAGCAATAAAGACATTTTTTTTGATCAACAACAAAAACTTTATTAATAAAACTGAAAAATGAGAAAAGAGGATGAGGCATCCTCTGAATACAAAACAGTGAGAAGACAGCAAGAAAAAGCTCCTAACCGACTAAAAACAATCAAAAGCTTACAAAGCACACACCGCTAACCAATCTCTAGCTAACAAAAATAGTGGAACTCCTTTAAATAAAGAGTTCCCCGACGCCCAAAAAGAAGATAAGTGACAAACATGATCCCATAAACAATCCACCTCCCGAAATTTATCTTCAAACAACCTCTGATTACGCTCCCACCATAGCACCCAAAAAGTTGCAAAGGCCACACAAGTCCATAAAATTTTGGCTCTCTTCGATCCTCCAAATGTATGAAAATCAATTACGAGCATATGCACGCTCCTTTTTGGGGCCACCCACATACCGTTTCCAACACGAAACAATCTATGCCATAGATTCAAAGCTATTGGACAATGCAAGAATAAGTGATCCACGCATTCCCCGCTCTTACAACACAGAATACACCACTGAGGATTTAAAAGACGATTTGGTCTCCTTTTCTGCAATGTATCATTGGTCAAAATTCCCCCATGAATCAAGGCCCACATAAACACCTTTACCTTTAAGGGAACACAAGCCTTCCAAACTTTTTTACAAAAAGGGAATTGAGGGATTTGAGGATTGTCGATGATGTAGTCAAAAAAAGACTTGCAAGAAAATATGCCGGACGAATGAAGTGCCCAAACCCTCTTATCCTCCAAAAGAGGAGATAAAGAAAAGTGATCAACTCTAGATAATAAAGAAACCAACTGTGAAGCCTCCCTATCATTAAGATTTCGAGAAAAATCAAAGTTCCAAGCAATTGGAGCTAAGAGAGAGCAAGCCATGGAAACAATTGAAGAATTATGAGAACGAGCCACTCGATAAAGATGCGGAAAATCCGCGGCAAAAGAAGATTGACCCATCCAAACATCCTCCCAAAACCGAACAACTTCCCCATTACCCACCCTTACAGAAAGACGTCGAGACCAGCATGTGAAAATTTGAGAAATTGACTTCCAAGAGCACGGCAACTACCCCTTAAAACCACTCGTGAATCCCTACCATTGTCCTGAATCCCATATTTGCTTCTAATAACCGAATGCCATAATGAATCAATCTCCAGTGGAAATCTCCATAACCACTTGCCAAGAAGGGCCAAGTTCCTAGCAACAATGTTACCGATAGCCAAACCCCCTTTCTCCTTAGATAACGACACCACCTCCCAATTCACCAAATGATCCTTTTTCCTCTCATCCTTACCTTCCCAAAGAAAATCCCGCATCAACTTTTCTATTGACCTTGCCACCTTAACCGGAATCTTGAACAAAGATAAATAATATATAGGAATTCCGCTCAAAACAGTCTTAACCAAAGTGTACCTTCCCCCTCGAGATAATAAAGCCTTGCTCCAGCCGTCCAATCTTTTGCCAATCTTTTCCATTATTGGAGTCCAAAAAGCTTCACTCCTAGGATTACCCCCCAAAGGAAGACCCAAATACTTAATCGGAAGCAATAAAGACATTTTCAAAATCCTAAAATAACAGTACCCAACTCAAAATTGAAATAGACTGAGCCGTTGTTTTACATGGTATATTTTGACACATTCAAGTAATCATGTATGTTACAAGGATCAAACAGAGTCGACAAGCTTCAATGTTAAGGTTCTCTCGGCTTCTCGGTTGGTAGAATTAGCCATTTTCGTGCATTTCAGAATTCAATTGATAGTTAACGTAAGGTTCATCAAAGCATTGGCATATCATATCAACCCTCAAATCAAACTATCAAAACCCATCAAATAAATAACCCATTTCATGAAAACAAATTGAAGTTTAGTCCGTTTCCGGTTGAAATACCTTGAAGTTTTCAAATAAAAAAACAAAAAAACAATCCATTTTAGATTTTCCTATACGAAGAAATTATGATAAATGTTCGGAGAAGTTGAACGATTGATTGTGAATCGTACCTTTATCTGATTCTTCTTTGTCGTCGGTGTTCCTTAATCTCTCCGCTTTCCGCATGAAATGTTTGATAAAAAGACTGAACCGGGAGGGAATATGCTGCGCACCGTTTTGTTCCGTGTTGTTAAACTCCCCGGTTAAAGTGCCAATTTTTTTTTGGATGGGCCGTTAGTGTCTCTATTGAACCAGTCAATATTCGTATCCGACCCGTTCACAACCCGATTTATCAGTCGATACGAGATTGTTTTTCCAAACTCGATCCGAGACGATTTGAGGGTTTCGTTAAGCACATCATGAATTTTTTTTTGATAATTTGAATTGATTATTTTGTAAATCTCTTTATATATATTATTTATGAAAAAAAATAAGTCAATCTGATAATTATAATTTTTTTCATTTCATTCTATTTGTTCTCAAAAAAAATAGATAATCTATT